ACTTTTTTTAACTTCGATGATCAGACGAAAACCGGTGCTTTTGATCCAAGAACATTTCTCGGGGAAGTTAAGTAAACTGCAGCAAAATATTCGCTGTTAACTTGATGAGAACATGAGAATGGTTTCCTGCCAATAAATGAAAAAAAGCCTACGACGAGAAGTATTCGCAAGTGGTCACCCATAAAAGTACCCAATTCCCCTTGTTTTAACTTCGATGATCAGACGAGAACCGGTGCTTTTCTAGTGCTATAGACGCAGACATTTCCTGAGAGAAAACAAGAGCTTTTAACCAAGAAAATTTCTCGGGAAAGTCAAATAAACAAACTGAAACGAAACTTTACAGGTAACTTATTAGAACATTAGAATATTTTCTATACAAAATATCCAGAGAAGCCTACGACACGAAGTATTCACACAAGTGGTCACCCATGCAAGTTCTAAATTCGCCCGACTTGTTTTAATTTCGGTGCAATTTCCAAGAGATATGATGGACGTAAACATTTTATCAGAGAAAACAAGAGCTTTGATCGAAGAACATGTGTCGGGAAAATCAAACACTTAATGAGAACAGTGAAATGATTTCCTGCGAATAAAATCAAACTGCAACAAAAGCTTTAAAGGTAACTTAATGGGTAAGCTGGAATAATTTCCTGCCAATAAATCAAAAGAGGCCTACGACAAGAAGTATACTCTCAAGTGGTCACCCATGAAAGTACTAACTTCGCCCGACTTGTTTTATCTTCGGCGATCAGACGAGAACCGGTGCTATCCAAGTGGTAGGGACGTAGTCATTTCCTCAGAAAAACAAGAGCTTTTGGTCCAGGAACATTTCTCGGGGAAGTTAAGCAAACTGCAACAAAATCTTCGCAGGTAACTTGGTGAGAACATGAAAAGGATTTCCTACCAATAAACGAAAAGAAGACTACGATACGAAGCATTCTCAAGTGGTCACCCAACCAAGTACTAACTTCGCCCGACTTGTTTTAATTTCGGAGTAATTTCCAAGAGATATGGTGGACGTAAACATTTTATCAGAGAAAACAAGAGCTTTGGATCAAGGAACATTTGTTGAGAAACTGAAACACTTCATGAGAACATTGAAATGATTTCCTTCGAATAAATCAAAAGAAGCCAACGACGCGAAATATTTCCATGTGGTCATCTATCAAACTATTGAGTTCGTGCGACCTGTTTTATCTTCGGACTTTCTAAGTGGTATGGACGTAGACATTTCCTCAGAGAAAACAAGAGCTTTTGATCCAGGAACATTTCTTGGCAAAGTCAAAAAAATTCCAAGAAAAGCTTCCCAGGTAACTTAATGAGTACGTTGGAATAATTTCCTGACAATAAATGAAAAAAGCCTACGACAAGAAATATTTTCAGGCGGTCACCCATGGTGGCCGCCCAACTTGTTTTAACTTCGATGATCAAACGAGAACCGGTGCTTTTCAAGTGGTATAGACGTAGACATTTCCTGACAAAAAACAAGAGCTTTTGATGCAAGAAAATTTCTCGGGAAAAGCTTCCCAGATAACTTAATGAGAACATTGGAGTATTTTCTATACATAAAATCAAAAGAGGCCCACGACACGAAGTATTCACAAGTGGTCACCCATCCAAGTAACTTCGCCCGACTTGTTTTATCTTCGGTGATCAGGTGAGAATCGGTGCTTTCCAAGTGGTATGTGGACGTAGACATTTCCTCAGCGAAAAAAGAGGTTTTGATCCAGGAACACTTCTGGGGAAAGTCAAACAAACTGGATAAAAACTTTCCCAGGTGCCTTAATGAAAACATTGGAATAATTTCATACTAATAAATCAAAAAGAGCCCACCACAAGAACTTTCTAACGTGGAGACCAATTCATTTACTAACTTGCTTTACTTTTTTTCACTTCGGTGTTCAGACGAGGACCGGTGCTTTCAAAGTGTTTTGATCGTAGACATTTGCTGTGAGAAACAATAGCTTTTGATTCAGAAATATTTCTCGGAAAAGTCGAACAAACTATAACGAAAGCTTCCCAGGTAACTTCTGATGAGAACATTGGAATAATTTCCTGGCTATAAATCAAAAGAGGCCTACGACACGAAGTATTCACAAATGGTCACACATCCAAGTACTAACATCCAGTAGGTGCATTTCAAGTGGTGTGCACGTAGATATTTCCTCAAAAAGAACAAGAGCTTTTGATCCAAAGACATTTTTCGGGAAAGTAAAAACAAACTGCAACAAAAGCTTCCCAGATGATCAGACAAGTACCGGTGCTTTTCAAGTCGCGTGGACGTAGACAATTGCTCAGAGAAGACAAGTGCTGGAACATTGATGCAGGAACATTTTTTTGGGAAATCTTCGAAGAAGATCTTCGCAGGTAACTTAAGGAGAACATGAAAATTATTTCCTGCCAATAGAAGTCTACGACACGAAGTATTCCCATGCAAGTGGTCACCCAACTAAGTAGCTACTAACTTCAGCCTACTTGTGGACGTAGACTTTTCCTTGAAGAAAACAAAAGCTTTTGATCGATGGACATTTCTCGGAAAAGTCAAACATGCTACAACAGAAGAACAAAGCTTCCCAGGTAACTTTAGAGAACATTGAATATATTTTCAAATAGTATAGACGTTCATTTTATTACAGTAAATATACCAAAAAATGTTTGAATATGTTTCCATAGTCTGTTTAATAGCATTTTAGGTGGTTTCCCAATTTTTTAATTGTTTACAGTTTTGGAAACTACTTAAACTTAAACAGACAAATATATAAATTTGAAAAGGTTTCCATTACTAGATTCCTAGTGTTTTACAGAATAGATTTCAAAATTGTGTCGTTTGCTAGATGTTGCATATAATTATATATTGATATTTTTTTTGTTGTCGTATAGTGACAATTAACTATTTATATTTAGATATGACGGACACGTGAACAGTGCATGCATATAATTTGGACAGAAATATGGAAATCGAGATATGAAGTTAAAAAAAGAATATCGATACAAAATGATTGCATTACGACAGTAGTGAATAACTTTCATATCCTCATGGATTTAAATTTGGGAAACGGAGACGAAGTGAGGTGCTGTTAGACTTAACGGCGATTATCGCGTAATAATCTGAGCCCGAGTCGCTCGACCAATCAGAGGCCAGAATATTTTATATTCACTTTGGCTTTGTAATTATATTAATTTCTATTGAATGATCAATTTCTAATGTTCATATTGACATCCTTTTTTGATGTCTGGTTTTCATCAGCGAAATAGGCATAAGAAGAGAACTTTTGAAAAGTGAAAACAAGGAAACGCATGCATTAACACAGGCACAACCACGCGAAATAAGCAAAAACACAAGCTTAATGAAAACCAATAATCAAGACAAAATAGATTTCAGAAAAATATATAGTTCCTACTTTGTCTTTATTATATATATTTAAGTCAGGATGTTTTATCTCGAATGCTTGAGCCTATATATGCTGGAATGAAAACCAGGTTTAAACCGTAGACAAATAACTAGATTATATTAAACAGTAAACTTAGAAACTTGGATTTTGCTTTACCGACATTTTTCCTTTGAAAAGCGATGTTAATTTGAAACAATTTCATGGTTGAGTACACCAATCATAAGTAAATAGTCATTTACATAGTATGCGCAAATATATAGTGTTATGATTGTAAATTGTATATGTATTGTTAAAGGAATTGTTATGTAAATATTAATAGTGTAGTATCATATTACATAGGAAATGGGTTTTTGAGGTAGCACGTACTAGCAAAACCAATGTCCCACACAATAACGTAAACGGACGCAAATGTGGGTTGTTGTGGAGCGAAAACAACAGAAAAACATCCTGTAGGAGATGCGCCAGGAAAATGCATCATTGTTTGGTAAAGCATCCTGTTTTGTTATTATAAATATAAGTTAAAATCATTGTTGTAAGTTAGTTGTGTATTAGAGCGTGAATTGTTGCAAAGTGTTGATTCCTGAATAAATGTAAATTAAATTATATACAGTCCCAGATTGTGAGGTTTGGACCAGCGAAGCGAAAAATCAGACTTGTTTCGAGATATTATTACACAAATATCGGAAAAATTTTTACCAATCAAAAACACTATCCTTAAACAAAATATATTAATAAATATTAGAATCATATACTATTTACTCTCAATATTATACCAAAAAAACTTTATTATACGCACTTCACTTGAAGCAAAGTCACGCACTTTCTTTTATTTTTGTAATAGGATCCTCAAATGTGATGTAATATATCTATGTATGGTTTAACTAGGGGTCTTAATCAAAATGAAAATTTGTAATTAATAAATAGGCGAATAAAAAAAAATACCAACAATCCCTCAAAGGTTGACTTGATTTCATCGTCGATAGCTCGCTGTTTTCCTATTAAACAAGTTTGTTATAACCAAAAAGTGTTCCTTTCCCAAAAAGTGTATCTTTATTCTAAAATTAGTAAATTGCAAAGTTTGGTTGCAAAATATTCCAAAATACAAAAAAATATGGGATAAAGTTTTGTAGGCATGAAAATTGTCAATTTGGGCCTGAAATAGTAGCAATAGTTGCAAGTTTCCACTGCTGTAATTTCTTACATCATTCTGGGCCAAACTAAAATTAAAAGAAGATATAGGTATCCTTTCAACTATAAAGCTATCGCAGCCCAAATTTGCGTGATAATTTGAACGCGAAACTTTTTCTGGCAATATGTCATAATGGAAGAAACAGTAATTCTTTTGGTGTTTTGAATTTTGAAACTACACTTGTTGGTTTTTAACGTCAAAATAGTCATGATTCTCGAAAGGAAACTCGGTATAAATTACTGAACGGCTCAGTTTGCTATAATTTTTTTGATAATTCTGACTTTATGGCCGCTCGATTCGCCGGGTACAAGTAGGGCCTAAATTCCGTTCTATTTTGAAAGATATTGAAGCCGGATCTTTCTTCCTTATTTAACGATATAAAAATATGTTTGTTGCGTTTAAAAATAGGGAGGAAACGAGCATTACGGATTATTCACCCTGAGTCGACGTATAACGAAGCTTTAAATCATGCAAAGTTGGATTCCATAAATGAAAAAAGAGAAAAGTTACGTATATTAAACTTTTTTCCAGGGTTGCGTTCACACGATATGAAAACGGATGGTATGAAAACGGAATGCTACTATTACATTACTCTAGATTCCATTTTGTCGTTTATGCAAAATCTGCTTACAATATCTTTTCATTTCGCAAACATTGCATTCGAACTTTGAGAATGATTGATTTTAATAGTTTTCGTTCGTTTTAGACCTTGGATATTTAGCTAACATATATTTCAGTTTATAATACACACATTGTTCATCAAATGATTTATCGCTATATGCATGCTGCTAAATTTGATTGGCAAAGACAACCACACACACTGCACGTAAATGACTTACACCCACTCATTGCTATTGTTAATATAAAATTATGAAGAATTGATTTCGTAGTAAAATGTTTTCAAAGAAAAATGAGCTCAAAAATCTTTCGCAACAGTAACTGCTACTCCAATACTCTCGATTGACAATTCGTCTGTACCACGTCGAATCCTAAAATATCCATCTTCTCCCCATCCAGTACCCCAGCTGTTCTTAACAATCCAGTATTTCATTCCAGATTTTTCATCGACGCCATAGCCAACTACAACGACAGCGTGGTTGGTGATTTCAAATGGATTAAATTTATCTTTCAAACCTGCAGATATATAATATAAAACACCATTAATACAAATACACAAACATTCCTATATGAATTAGCTTTAAGAAATCAAAACTCAAAGTAGTGAAAATAGACATTTATAATAGCGCGCGGTTTACGTATAGTTTATAGACCATATAATAAAAAATCTGCGATATGACATATTTTGGGGGCAAATCATGTCTTTTTTACCAACAACTTTACCATGTAGTTGACGAATTAAGAACGCGCTTGTCCGCCAACGGTATATCACAGATATCACAGAAGATTATTTAGAACTGCTTTTCCGAAACATGGCTATGGGAATACCACATTGTATTGGTGAATCTTCGCAGTTTGAGTAAGAATAAGCGGCAAATATGAAACAAAAATGGAGTTCAGTGAACACTTATTTGATTGATGGAACTATTTCAAACGTGGCTTTTAAGAGGCTTTGTATGACATGTTACATGACAATCAGGTGGTATGATTACAAGTATGACAACAAGTTTCAACAGCGTAAGCAAGTAGTTGATGGTTCGACAACAGTGCAAACAACACTGCTCACAGGATGAAGCACACGCACAACATTGTTCACTCCTGCTGCTACAACCTGATCAATTTTTGCCGTGTATCACAACTTCACCAGTTCAAGCAATTTAAGCGTCGACATGAAGACTTCAGGGGGTGAACTACATCAATTAATCACAGGGACCTTAAAATACACCAAATCTATACGACGTGGACGTGAAGTAATACTGTCGTCATTTTCACAGTTTCTAAATGTCTTATAGTTTAATCCGTGTAGTGTATGCCTGATTATATGTCATTTACTAAATAATATATACTGCTTCTTGTTCTTTATAGTGACATATAAGGAGAGGAATAAAAATTATGGACTCCTTTTGGTGATCAAGGTCAGTGCTGCACGTAAAACTAATAAAAACTTCGTTTTCTAACGCTACCGGCTGATTTCATGTCACCTCTATACGTACGTAGATTTGTGCATCTTCTATTAGATCCCTAATAGTAACTGTGACAGCCCGCACTCGCGATAGAAGATTTTTTCATCCGTCTACTTACCTGGATTGACATATATGCCACTTTTGTAGTGCATAAAATCGGAGGTCACTTCAAAACTTACGGAAAAAGGCCCGTTTTTTACGAGTTCTAACCGCATTAACGGCTCATTGCAGGCGCCATAGAAGCCGCCAACGTAGTGATAGTCGTTATTGCCATAATGACGAGCACATGAGGATGATTCGGTACACTTGCTGTCTTTTCCTTCATAAGGATAGCAAGATTCTTCAACCAAACCAAAGTCAATACCATATTTACTGATGAGATAAGGAAAACCTTAAAAATATAATGATTTTCTCGTTTAGCCTTCCACCATAGGAATTGTAGTTCCACTTTGATTTATAAAGACACTTTTGCGCTTTACTTAGGGGCTGTTCACATGAGCCTGACTACCGAGATCGAACTTGGCGTAAAATGGACTTTAAGGTATTGAAATGTGTAAATAACTCGATTTTGGTAGTCGTGTAATCATACTCACAATAGTATGCGATTGTTCTGTTTCAAAAAGACATTTTTCAATACTTTAAAGTTAATTTTTTAAATCTCGGTAACCAGGCTCATGTGCCCTAAAGACTGAGTTGAGGATTCAATTCCAAAAGTTTTATATTTGAAGATCTGTACTAATCCAAAATTAAACCATGGGCATGGGAAGGAAAATTTTCACGGTCATACTAATTACTCTGCTTCTTGTCGGTGTTTCTCAGCTTCTTGTCGGTTTTTGTCGGTTCTTGTCGGTAATTAGTATGACCCCATGGGAAGGAAAATTTTGAAGCGGTAGACGAACGATTTCAGGAAAAGTTTTTGGAATTAGGTCAGCGCAAATTGCCGATTTATGCGAAAATTTGCCCGCATTTTAGTAGAATTCGATAGAAATTTGCTTAACTTCAAATGTTTCTAGGAGGCTCAGTACCTATAAAGCTAATCGGCTTTTAAAAACCCAGCACAGGTTATGAAAAAAATTACGCGTCACCTCCTTCACATCCTTGAGAGTACTCAGAACAGCTGACGATATCTTGGGTGGACAAAATGTAACCAGTGGTGAGATTAGAGCTAATACGTGACCGGGCTTCAAACATTCCCATGGTAGAAAACGCATAACAACTGCCACATTGCAACTGATTTCGTATAGGACTGACGTAGTTTACGCCATTTACATCCCGCCAGTCAAAAGAAGTTGGTAGTTTATCAGCGGCCTCAAGGTCTTCTTTTTTGACGGGTCTAAACAAAGAAATGATGAGGCAAATGTGTTTTGGAACAGCCTTGGAAAGTAACCACAATAATAGTAGGTTAATAAATAATGAAAATAGCTAAATAATAAGAGTAGCAAAAACAATAAAAAATAATAAAATAATAAAAAAAAATTATTAATAAAAGCAGCCAAAATAACTGCCAAAAGTAATAGCCATATAGTAGCTAAAATAATGAAAATATAGTAGCCAAATAATAGCCATAATAATAAAAGTAACCTAAGTCATAATTTAAGGCTTTGAAGAACAACTTCATTGAATCAACTGTACATTTATAGGGATTAAAGAAAAATAACCTACATGCCTAAAAATGATCAGGTTGATGCAATATTGATATGACCAGGATGGAGCAATGTTTTACTGACCACATTGTTCAGAGTTGTCATCAACATTGGAGTTGTTATCAACATTGAACAATATTGTTACACCTGATTCATTTTCAACATCATTGTTCAATGTTGTTGACAAGTGTGAACAATAATGGCAGCACAACATTGTTGCATGTTGATAAACTATAGGCTCAGAGTTTTTGCCTATGTAGGTTTAGTACATTTATTGCTATATATACAACTTCCTATCGCTACTTAAAGTAACATCCAGTGTAGTATACTTTTGGGAGAAGTATTTTGCCATACAGGATAGACTGTATGTAAGATGCACACCAACACCATCAATTACTACTGTACCTTGGAGGAGGTGATTGGAACTTCTTTGGTCCTCCAGCTTTATACATCATTTCTCGCAGTGTAAGTTTTTCATACTCCCTATACACCGTGGGAAACCAATGATTTTGTTTCTCAATGATGGCTACAATGAAGTCATTGTTTAGTCGGTATGGTTTGTCATATTTAGATGAACTCAGGAATGCCATGTTGCTAACTTTTGGAGCTTGAATGGAATTTATCTTTTTTCCTGTAAATCAACAAAAAATATTGCGAGATAAGACTGTGCAAGATAAGAAATAAATTGGAAATCAACACATACAGGTTAGTATGGATGAAACCTAAGAAAATAATTCAGGACCAAACAATATGTTAACACAATTTGGCCCAAAATGATTCACCCAGACCCTAACAACATTGAAAAACTGTTGTCATTAAGAGTACCACAAGGTTGGAAATCTAGTTTACTTACAAGTGGGGGTAACAGTAAAATGCTATTTAAACCTAACACCAACCATTAGGTGACCTTGTATTGTATGATGACAATATATCCTGTCTAAAATAAATTGACAGTCTCGATCATGATTTCCTAGAGTAAAAATTGGGTTGAAGTATAGGTTAACGTTACACATGCTATCATTTGCCATCATCAGGCTGTCCGAAAATAAGCATGCTAAACATTGATGGCTCATGCTTACTTTTAGGCTGCCTATGACTTTACTTGAACTTACCATAAAAACATGCCCAGTTCTTGCTAACATCTTGCGCATCATGTGACCAACCTGGCATTGTTTGGTCGCAATAACTCGTAACCTTACTTCCCGATGCAACATATTTTGAAAAAGCGAAAAATTTGGTGCCATTTATGACAACTTCAAAGCCTTGATTATATATCATTGTCCAGAATCCTTTGTTATAGTCATCATCTAAGGCGATGTCTGGAAACAGTAAGTGAACGCGCAGTTGGGTGACAGCTTTCCAACTTGTATTACAGTTCAATGTATTATCGTGGCCATTTTCACCGATATAAAACGTCCACGTGCCCTGAACATCTTCAAATGTGCAATTTGCAGGGGTATCAGCTCGAATAGTCGTGAAAAATGTCGCAAAAACGAGAATCGTATTCAAAAGCATAATGAAACAATTCGAACAAAGGAGAAATCTTCAAAAATGTACAATCACAGTACAATCATGTGCCGAAGCAAACCGAATAATTTATGCAGAACAGATGATTGCAACATTGTTGCTTACATGACGTTTCGGATTGTAACTACATTTATTTACTTTTCTCCTCTGACTTTTTCCTGAGCTTTGTTTTGAATCACGGGCTCAATCGTAATGAATGAATAACTTTAAAAAATCCATAGTATTTATATAGAAATATCGTGACTTCTTTGGATGATTTTTAATGAAAGAAATCATAGGCTTTTAAGACAAAGATAATTCTGAAGTTAAACTTCAAGCTTATTTAACCAGCAAATCGTGCCAGTAATTTTCCCAGGTCGTAACACTATCACATGGAACACTGATGAAACAATTGCGAACACGTGTACCATGGCAGGCATACTGGCATAGCACTGAACCACGAACTGCTGCAGTCACGTACAGAATTACTCAAGGTTAAAGTGCAAAAGTTGAGGTGGAAAGCTCTGTTTAAATCTAAAAGAATGTTATGTAAGATGTAAGTAGATATCGCGTGTTATATTAAATCTTTCCTGATACTATTATAATATATATTTGTATAACGGAGTATCAAGTTGTCTGACAACAGGTTCAAACCGGTTTGATTATTGAATAGAATTTCGAGGTTTGATTTCGATTGCAATTTTATATATATATTTGGCGAATAAAAAAAATACTCAAAGACAGGGGCCTGTACCTTTCTGGAAGATTATTGTAGAGCACTGCCAAGAGCTCTAATACGGCTATACAGATTTTAATACGGCTAACGCAATTCACATTGATTGTGATGAAACAATAGTTATTTGAATATTTCACATTCGGATACAACCATGTCCATGCGTTACTTTGCATCTGCGTGCTTTTCCGACCCATCTGGCCTGCCTAATCTGGTCTGGAAGCAAACAAAAGGCATATTAACACCGCGTTTTTTTTAATCATTATTGGTAATTTATGTCAGACATCACTGCTGTCATATCCAATCATAATGGCTGATGTAATCTTACATCTACATTCAATATATGCTTGTTTGAAGGTCTAGGTACCCTTCCTCCAACGACATCTTCAATTTTTCATTGATTTTTGTATCATAAGATGAGTATTAATTTATATTCATAAAATGGGGGCTTTACTTTATTTTTTAGGCCAAGGGGTTAGTGAACTAGCATATGATATATGTTTGTATGTGTTGTATTAGTTAATTATCACAGAAATCATATCAGTTTAAAAAATTTCTGGCTTTATTCTAGACTTTAGACTCAATATTAGACGAACATAGCAAATTATTGTTTCATTCTCATCCTGTTTGTGACCAAATAGAATACACTTAATACCGGTACACTTACCATGATATTATACACTTAATGTATGCTTCAAGAGAAATAGCGAGTTTTGTTTTCCCAAGGGTCTCAAGGGAAAACAAAACTCACTATTTCCCGAGGTAGCTTACATTAAGTGTTTTGTTATATAGGAACAAAAACATGCATGTTACACAGCTTAAATTTCATTTAAAAAAGATCCCACTTTACTTTATTTTGACAAGAAGCAGCCATGCAACAATTTTTTTACAGCACTTAAGGACTCTACAAATCCTTAAGTGCTGTAGTCTAAAGGAGAACCATTGAACCCTTATATTTGACTCATTTGTGAACACTGTAACAATATACCATTACATCTGACAATGAGCTTGAGATTTAACACATTGTACTATTAAGCAGGGTATTTGATCAGTGGGGAACTGCACAAAATCCATTAGGATTGTCAGAAGAGATATGGAAGACAAATCCATCCATAAATATATTGCCTTTGGCATTGACTTGTTATTTGAAGCCATGTCAATACTATATACTATTCTGAATTTTATACTATATACTATACTGAATAATACCTGGGTGCTACATTCAGGGTGAAGTATTTTTGTTTAATGGGTTAAATGTTCCTCATAGTCTTAGCATAGCCAGCCAAATGGAGAGTTATAAAGCGAAGACTTACTTTAGAGAGTTATGATTTTGGAGATTTAAATTTTGGCCTGGTCCAAACCACACCTCTTTTCCCAATGACCATGCCTAATTTCAACTCTGCTGATGATTCCTATCTCTAACATAAGTAACTCTCTTTTTAACAGTATAAAAATTTCAGAGAGTCACAGAAAATTTCTAAAATGTTCTAGCATGCATTCACAATTGTGACTATAAAGAGAGTGATGATGTCAGTTTTGGAAAGTCTGTAACGTTTTTGCAATAAAATTGTAGTGTCAAAGTTGACAGGAATAAAATGTATCTATAATTTATCTGCCCCTGAAGGCTGAAGTTACAAAAGTTGGAGGTTTTTGGAAACAACTCTCTTCATAAACATATTTGTGAACACAAAGTTATTGCAAATGGTACTGAACCCTCTCTATGACCTTCATACGGAGTAATTCTCATTGGGAAAAATGGGCGCGCCGTTGTGAACAGAGGACGATGTTTAGGCGTGGTCTAAACTACTTTTCGGTTATAACTCTCCTGTTAGTAACTTCCTCTTTTGCCATACTAGAGTATGTAAAGCAGAGTAATGCCTAATGTGAATTAAGTCCCACACACACGTGTGTATTACTTCAAGTTATCGCATTATGAACACGCGGTTGAGTAAAGATCAAAACTTTGGATAACATCCCACGCAAACACGAATGTGTTAATTTGTTAAAACTTAAATAACACGTGTGTGACTGAGGTGTAAAATTATAGAATTGAGTACTTTATTTAGCCTTGAAATTGCTTATCTATGTATACAAACATAATTTATCATTCTTAACCAAAAATTTTTTTAGCTATAAGTTTTTCAGTTTGAAAGAGAACTTTCCAGTAGTATTTCGTGTTTAGGACATATTTCAGTATGCCCCAAAGCTAATTAGGATTTAAAATTTGACCGTACTGTTTTATATTCCGTAATAATCTGGGATTATAGACTTAAGCCAAGGCTTTATAAGAGCCGGATTTGCCTGAGATAAAAACTAATTCGTCAAATATAACGTATGAGTTCACGATCAGTCTTGGTGAATAGGTCGTCCTAACGCTGGCTTTGTGCAGGTATCAACTTTATGTTGGCTTTCTGCAATAAAAAATCATTAATTGCCTGCATCCCAATGTATAGCACTGATGCACGCTACATGCTATGTCTACATAATTTCATCTTTATTTTTACGCGTTAGCAGTTCACTGAGTAATAAACGGAAATTCCAGTCGAAGAATTGATTAAATGCGACTTCCTAAGAAAACACAGCGTTTTGTTCTAGCACGGATTCTCATTTAGAGCGTTCAATCATAATCCAACAGATGGTAGCTTCGCACCATTGTCTTTTCAGGCAAGTGCATGAGCCAATTGTCTGAATCTGCTGTTCCTTTCGTACTGAGCAGGAATTACTATCACAACAACCATTCATTTAGACTGTCTCACGAAGGTCTAAACCAAGCTCACGTTCCTTATTGGCGGGTGAACAATCCGACGCTTGGCAAAATCTGCTTCGCAATGATAGGAAAAGCCGACATCGAAGAATCAAAAAGCAAACTATGAATTTGCGGCAATGAAACAGCGCGGTATATTATCTTAAAGTCACATCTATAGTATTTATCAGAGGTAGTTATTGATCATTTTGGTTTTCTTTGTAGAGTTTTCTAAATGATGGTACAAGACTCATTCGAGAGTGGTGTCCTGACGAAGAGAAAATGTCCCTCGCCGTCGTCAGGAACATCGACACCACTCTCTCTCATCGAGAAAATCAAACAAAGTATGGGATTAGAGAAGAAATTCTTCTCGCTGGAATTTTTCCCGCCAAGAACGCCAGCCGGGGCGGCAAACTTGATTGGAAAACTAGAAAAGTACGGTTAAACTAATATGACAGTTCAAATGATAGTGCAATAGACCTTTTGCATTATAGACTACTGTTTATCTATGCAAGGAAATGCAATCACGTCAAAACAATTTCCGTATGTCTTAAAAAAGTATAAAAATTTGCAAACTTTGCCACGCTATATTTCCCGCATTTTAAAATATCTCGCAACTAAACTTTGCAATGATATTTTCTGGGAGCCTGGGATCTATACAGTTACTTATTTTTTTTGGAAATCATTTCTCTTTTATTTTATAAACTCCAAGAAAATATTAGACTCGATTGAGTGAAGGATTATCTCTAATAAACAATGTCGAAAAGCAAAATCCCTTTTGCATTGCTTGGCAACGTTTTGAATGGTGATATATGTGAACTTTAAACTATATTGAGATGCAAATCAATTATGATTTTTGGCACTTCACTCGATGCAGGAATATTCTAGAGGTTTAAAGGGTCTTAATTTCGAGTGGTATTATACACACTTCAACTTCAAGCCAGGAAAAATGAGTCAACTATATATAGGTCCTCCGGCAGGAAGTGGCAAGAGCATTGCAGCGGCATCGCAAAAGCGTAGGTTCGATTCCTGCCGGAAGACCTATAGTTGACTCATTTTTCCATCAACTGTTCCTGGCTTGAAGTTGAAGTGTGTATAATACCACTCGAAATTAAGACCCTTTAAACCTCTAGTATATTGAGATACCATAGCTCTAAACTTAAACCTCGGTCTAAACCTGTAACCCTGACGTGTTTAAAAACAAAATGGTGATTGCTTTTGTTTTATAAAACAATGTGCGGAACAAAGCCAAAATACACTCCCAAAGATAGAGTTCACACCGCCTGCCTCTATATTCACCACCTCCCGTGTGGTGTGCATGGTCGTCGCCGGCGACCGAGTTTGTTGCAAGTAGGTAACGAAAATTTTAGGTTGTTAATTGAGAAAACGAACTCTTGTACTCCTGTATAAATTTTCATTATTGCATGGATGCATGCATAAAAAAATTCAGATAAAAAACACATTAATACGAAATGAACGTAACATACATGGTTTCTTAACGATATTGTATGGCAAGTATCACTCTCGGTGAGGTGATACGCCTCGAGATTTGTCTAAAGTAATTTTCAGCAGCCATTAACGACCAGTAATCGAGAGGAACTTCCGGATGAACCAGCGATCCATTGAGGGATGAAAAACATAGAAATTCTAAACGATTTGAAATCAAATAAACTCTAATATGAATTCATCCTTTTTTGTTTGCAGTGCAAATGATTTCTTTATTTCCGTATAATATTATAATATTATATATTCAAGATAGCTTTTCAGTAGATAAATTTAACGCATGTTCTCTATTTTTCTAAATTTATTTTTAATGTATAAACTAGGTAAATTGAATATTTTAGCTTAATTCTTATAATATTATTATTGTATAAGTATATTGTAATGCGCGTTTGATTATTATTATTATAGATATTCGCACAAAATAAGAAAAAAATTGTTATTGTTATATTATTACTGTTCATCCTATTATTCTCATAAAAATGTTAGATTTTACATCACGTCCAGCAAATCTCTAATGATGTAAAGATAAGTGCCGCATGATATTGTGGTATGCCATGCGAGTTTTATTTACCTTTTTTCCGAGACTATTTTCTGTTACTAGGTTTTCGGCAAGCTCTCCATTATTTTGTGACATTACGTGGCATGCCGCTGGTGACCCAGGCGGTGATAAGGAGACAAGCTCAATGCAAATTGCTGGTGCTGCATTGAACTACTGTGGTGTGGAGATTATGTTGCATATTACCTGTGCGAATGAAACGAGGGAAACTATTACGAAGCATTTATACAAAGCGAAATCAATGGGCATAAGAAATATTCTTGCTTTGAGAGGAGGTGCGCTGAGTGGTTGTTTTATCATCCAGTGGAAATCATACACGTTTCAAATTGAATCCAGGAACAGATCATGAAAAAAAAATGTCGACTGTCCCTCCTTCGGTCTGATTCCTGCCAGAGGGTTTTTGACACATTTTTCTCAATTGTTCTGTGCGTGAATTTGAAATGTGTATCATTTCCTCTCGAAAGGAAGACCCTTTAATTTCATCGAGACAGGTTCGCCCGAGTGATTTAAATTGACAGAAACGAAGAATTCTACACACAGTGTGTCTCATAGAAAGAACATCAACATCAAGAGCAGAGAGGCTCAAATCCCCAATGCATTTGACATTGCGAATATTCTGGTCAGTATTCGTACCAGTCGATATTGCAAAACTCTGACAGTTAGCGCGTGTGGATGTGTTTGAGAGAAAATTACCAATATACACAATACTTCAAATTTGATTGTGATGTTTTTATAATATTTCTCAAACAATAGCAAAACCTGTACACAGTCTATAATCATAGCAATCCGTAGTTGCGCTTTTCTGAATTTTTTCTTTTCGAATAAAGATCCCCCTCATGGTGAAGATTTTGAAGTGGTGGATGAGAATTTGGTATACGCTGCTGACCTGGTGAAACACATCAGACAAGAGTTCGGTGATTCATTTACGATTTGTGTCGCAGGTTAGCAATGATTTAGAACCAATTTGATTAACACAGGGGAGGGGGCAGGCTTTCTTTCGTATGAAGTAAGCACGAAGTGGGATATAACAAAACATTTAAAATACACGTCTGCGTAGGGGTCTAGTAGGCCATTCAGGCTATTTATGAGGCTCGTAGACTGGCAAGTTGCTAATGTTACTTCAAACATTTCAACATCAAAGAAAGATATGAAAAAGTAATAGTAGGAATAAATTATTTTGTAAATAACGCCTAGAATTTAGTGCCAGTACGACATACAGTGCTTGTTTTCCGACAAATACACGTCGTATTTCTACAACTGACGAGTTCAGTTCACGTTTGTTTCTTATTTAGATCAGTATTTTACACCTAAGGTACATCCAAGTAGACCCAAGTGGGGTCTCGCTCTGGGCGGCCTCGTTGCAATATCTAAAAAAGTGAAATATTTTCCAGGTTACCCGACAGGCCATCCTGACTGTAATAGTTACGAGGAAGATTTGACACATTTAAAGGAAAAAGTTGACGCCGGTGCGGACTTTATCATTACCCAGCTTTTCTTTGAAGCCAAAACATTTCTTAAGTTTGTTGAAGATTGTCGTGAGATTGGTATTGATGTACCTATCATACCTGGAGTCATGCCTATTCAGGTTTGTTTGACTCACTAAAATTCGTGGATTAAAAACTAATGGATTGATTTACTTACCCACAAGAATCATTGCTTTTATTGTAGACAGTTTTAGATGATTCTTTCCCGGCTCGTTTTTCTCCCATTGAGCTAACTTTTTTTATAAAGTCGCTTATAAAGTCGCTACAAATATGCCGTATCTATATATGTACTTCAATATTCTAACGGATCTTTTAGAGTTACGATTCTCTGCGACATCTAGTTAAACTATCGAAACTCGATATACCAAAGGAAATTCTTGAAGCAATCCAACCAATCAAAGACGATGATTTGGCTATCCGTACATATGGTGTAGACTATACCATTAAAATGGTCAACGAACTTTTCTCTAGTGGGCTTGTACCTGGGATCCACTTCTATACTTTGAACCGCGAGGTATTTCACAATAGCGATTCAGCATCATTATTGTCTTTACGAGTACTTGATATATAGTTCTTTTTAGTACCCAAAATATGAAGCTGAAGTATGTTGGTAATAGTCAGGGATTAGCGTAAACGGTGGTTGAGTTTAAAATAGAAAATAAGTCTATCGTTTTATTCAACAAGCAAACTAAATGTTTTTAACCTTAATACAAAAGATACTGTTAACAACTACATATTCAGTGCATGATATTCAAGTTGACTCATTCAAGTGAGATGTATATAAGAGTGTTATTTAATTTTTGACTTTTCCACCGTTTAAGCTAAACGGGCTTGATACAATGGGCCCCGGGTGTCGAAGGCCTTGGCTGTTGTTGATTTGGAAAACTCTGAGCCCCTTCCAAGAACAAAATTATCTTGTAATAGGGCAAACAAATAACTGAAGATTCTGCAGTGTTTAAACTATTTACAGTGGTAATGATTTTTAGAATTATGTTGGACCAACTGAAATAAAAACGACTATAAATATTTAAAGATATTTCTGATATGAAAAAATGGCTAGTGATAAAAAATATTTTTAAATACAGTTAATTATTGTCAGGAAACGATTTGTAGTTTTAATTTGTCGCAGTCATCCTGCATGGTCGGGGTTCAATTAAACCTAAGATTGTATACTTATAGGTTGCAACGACTGAAATTTTGAAGCAGACCAAATTGTGGTCACTTGAGCCACTGTACGCACGTTCGTTACCTTGGAAACCTTCAGCGAACGTGAAGCGAATCAAGGAAGAAGTTCGTCCAATATTTTGGGCATCGCGAACAAAGAGTTATGTACATCGCACGTCCGAATGGGACGAGTTTCCGAACAGTCGATGGGGAGACTCGGCTGCGGCATCGTTTGGTGATCTCAGTGATTACCATTTGTTTTATTTGCGAAACAGAACGAAGAAGGAGACCTTGTTAAAAATGTGGGGTGAAGAGTTGAGTTCTGTTCAAGATGTTTATGATGTCTTTGTCTGTTATATCAGTGGAGAGAAGAATGTCAACGGATCAAAGGTATCTGTCTGTTATTCCATCCGTCCGTGTCTGTGTCTGTCATTCTATCTGTATGTCTGTTTGTCTGTGCCTGTCATTTTATCTCTTTGTCTGTGTTTGTGTCTGTCATTCTATCTGTACCTGATGTCTGTTTATCTCTGTCTGTCATTCTATCTGTATGCATGTCTGTTTGTATGTAGCTTTCATTCTATCTGTATGCATGTCTGTTTATCTGTGTCTGTCATTCTATCTGTATGTCTGTTTATCTGTGTCTGTCATTCTATCTTTATGTCTATTTATCTGTGTCTGTTTACCTGTGTCTGTCATTCTATCTGTATATCTGTTTGTGTCTGTCATTCTATCAGTATATCTGTTTGTGTCTGTCATTCTGTCTGTATGTCTATCGAACTATTATTCATCAACTCTTCATCACAGAATGATTTGACATAAACGGTTTTGATGGTTTTTGATAATTCAGCCGTTTAAATCCGCATCTCCAATAATTTCGTTGTTCTTTAGGTAACCATGCTTCCCTGGAATGAAGATGATTTGGCACCTGAGACGTCAGAGGTTTCAGATGATCTTGTGGAGGTGAATCGTAGTGGAGTGTTGACTATTAACAGTCAACCACATGCTAATGCTGCCAAGTCAACTGATCCAGTTTTCGGTTGGGGAGGAGCTGGTGGATACGTTTATCAAAAGGTAGCAAAAAGTAAATACAAACGTATCATTTATGTAATTCTATGCGAGTTTTAATAATATAGCTGATCACAATAATGATTAAGCAACATGCCTTTGTACAGTATACAGTGTGTGTACGTTGGGGTTCTCAATATTGCCTTATATGTACAAATAAGCAAAAACATTCCGCCTTCAGAGCTCAACGTTTAAGACTATACAAGGAAACATTGAATGAGCTGCATTTAAATTCTATTTTAGGCGTATTTGGAGTTCTTCACGAGAAAGGAAGTTGTTGACAAGTTATTGGAAGTTTTAGAAATGGACTATCCTGGTGTCAGTTATCATGTTGTTGATCATAAAGTGAGAAATTTATTAATAATTAACACGATAAAAGGTCTCATAATATCTTGATTTTCTCGATGGTCTACACTGTCTGTAACGGCTTTGAATTTAGCCGTTTTATTTACTAAAATATTCAAAAAGACCATATTTTGGGGGGACCATCATGGAGTATCGTCAGGGAAGTGTATCAACTTTCTTGTCCAAAGGAATGTTAATAATGGTGATTGCGAGTCGAGGTATCACTTGAACTAACATTCCTGCTGATTTGAGCTAACATTCCTACTGACTTGGACTAACATTCCTACTGACTTACACTCTTGCACGCAAGTAACACTCTTGCTGAATTGCGCCAATATTCCTGTTGATTTGAACTAACAACATTCCTGCTCACTTACGCTAACATTCCTACTGACTTGAACTAAAATTCCTGCTTAATTGCGCTAACATTCTTGCTGACTTCAACTAAAATTCCTGTTGAATTGGGCTATTGTAACATTCCTGCTGACTTGAACTACCATTCCTGCTGAATTGCGCTATAACATTTCTCGTGAGTATAGGTCACGATGAAGTTGCAATTCTATAAGTTTTTTTGTCATCTTTGCAAGAAATATGTTTTGATTTATTCATTTATCTTCTTTTGCGATTTATATAAATTTTTACATCCGGTGTTTGTTGGTTGGTTTTATTATTTTTCTTCAGTATCGCCTCTGGAATATAACTATATAACTCTGCTCACTCTCTTTTTGGTCCATTTTAATGTTTGTAGGGGGAGATTGACATAATCAGTGAAGAGTTGGCTTCCCCTGTTGCTGTCACTTGGGGAGTATTTCCTGGCAAAGAGATTATTCAACCCACTGTTGTTGATCCTGTTAGTTTCCAGATCTGGAAGGTAATATGAGTTAAAGAGATTATTGCTTTTATCGTCATTCGTCAGGTATTTTTGAGGTTGGTTTTGAAAGCTCGCTCGCTCACAGTGTTTCAGCTGAAATGCTGACATCTTGTTTCCCTCGAGTAGAAATATCTTCCTGGATTGGTTATAAGGTGATTGATTGCATGCATGCGATCCCTTCCCTGTAGTGTCCAGCGGGTGTAGTATTGGTTTGATTTATACTTCATGAGGTAAAATATAAATTCCGAATTTAAATCCATTATATACAAAACCAAAAGAACAACTAGTTCTAGAAGCAACTAGTCCGAGAGCTGTCAAGCAAAGCGGGAAGTTTATTTTTTAATGTCCTTAATATAATGTAATATTAAAAAAGAAGCGCAAGTAAAATATTGTTATATATTACATTATTACTGTATATTATCTTATATATTTGGGTCTTATTATAAGAGTTGTAATCGCTAAAGTGTTGCTTATATTCGCATGACACATAGCATTGCAATCATCATGCACCACATCACTTCACTTGAAATGAAAATCTTTCACTACATTTTCGCCTTCCTTTTTCGCTAAATTGATAAAATATTACATAAGTCATGCCGAAAAATGTTTTCCGTACCCAAATCTAATAACATTTTCTCCAATAATCGTAACATAATAGTCGCTAAAAGAAGGGTGTTCTATACTCTTGTAAAGTATTTCTGAAACTTAAAGGACTGCATGTTATGAATTTCAAAAATCTGTCGATGCATATGTCCATTAAAGCTGTCTTTTTTACACTTTATATATAACATGCGGTAACGTCACTCGTGTCATTGATACAGCAAGTCTTAGACTGCTTCAGGCTAATTAATCTATATAATTATATGCTCTTTATCAGCCATAAATTTTAATCTACTAATCATATATTATATTTCATCGTTATGTCGCGTATAGATACGCGGTTTTTTGTAGAAGCAGATGATCTCATTAGAGCATGTGCAATTTAAAATATACTTTAGATCTGCTAGACGTGTCACTGATATAGTCCTATGAAGAATAAAAACCAGTATAAAAATACTTTAAAAGCTGCCATCGTATTATTCGTAACTCCTGAGCTTTGTGGTTTAGAATCAGTGTTATCGAAATATCATGTACTATAATGCAAAATTTTTCACAAACTTCCCATGCAAACGAAAATACTTCGTGTAACGCACAGCGAAATATCTCATGAAGAATATCCATATTTACAAGACAACATTTCGTCGTAACAAGCTGCACTGCAGCATTTATTTTTAGGAATAAATAACGTTGAATGTTGTAAAGTTGTGATGGTTCCCAACTTCAATGTCGAATGACGTCGGAGTGTCTTAATTGAAAAAAGGATGTCTTGTTGGATGTCGTCTGTTGCAGAGCATAAATACTATGTTGATTTCACAATGTTGGTGAAATTTGAACACAATTTGTAAATGCTGTTAGCCAATTACCTGATTTACCAGCATAATCACAATGATTTTGGTTACATGTCGATCTTAATATGTAAATAAATAAAATATAAGATGATATATGAGGTAATATATTCAAGCCTGCAAGCTAGGTATATAGCGTTTTATTCGGTTTGTAGATTGTAAAACACTGGCAGAACTTGTATGTGCCTGAACTCATCAACGGTTTGAAAACTAAAAAAAGCAGGTGAAAAGGACAAAAGACATGTTTTAAGATTCTGGAATCTTTAAAGTAACTTTTTAAAACAAGCTACAAAAATGAATTAAATTCCATTGTTTTATAAAATGTCAGTTAGAATAAAAACATTGTCCGTATAAAAAATAATGAAAATAAAGTTTAAACGTTTGTTGGGATTGTCTGCAGCAATCTGCATGTAATTTGCTATTTATTTATAGCTAATTTTATAGTTTGTAATATGATATAGCTAAACCTATCCTTTGGCAACAGCCAAATCAGGGATCGATAAATTGGACGAAGCTTGCACGCTTTTATATAGGTTTAAAATAATTTTCACTCTATTGAATATGTTTTACCCAAATCAATATGCCGAATTCAGTGTTCTGTCCGTATTTCATGTAAGGAAGCCCTTCTTTTCCGATCAACTTCTAATTTATTCACGTAAAAACTAAAACACAAACTCTGAAACTCACAATTCTACATCTCAAACTACTTTCAAAGCGTTCTCCTCACATGTATGTTACCTATCTTATTAACATTATACGTTTTCAAAATGATGCTTAAATATCATTCAAATCAAACTTCTTCCGAATGACAAAAGTCGATTTTATTCAATTAATCTTGCTCCCTGGTCTATTGAAAAAAACACGTTTAATGTTGTATCTTTGCTATAGACCTAGATCGATTTCACTTCTTTCGATAAAAAGCCTCAAAAAACCGAAAATCAATATTTCATATTTCACTTCCTGATTTTTCACATAATCACGGCTCGAGTATACCACAGAATTGGTCCATTCCGTCCAAAGTATGCTTATTAGGTCAACATCACTTAGAGCCAGCCGTTTGAGTAACAGTATTGCTGGGAAAATATGATTAATAAAAAATCTTCCCAAGCTGACTATAGTATGATGTTATTTTGGTTGCATTGTTTTATGTTGTGGAGAAAATATATCTTGAGAAAATGCAATTTGTTGCTGTTGTCTTGTATCGTGTATTTTGATGACACGGGGAACATGCATGTATATAGTCAACAGAAGCTGTGTCTATAAACTACATACTAGCGTAGGTCTGGCTTACACGAGTTTGGATCTTCTTAGTGTAAATTTGTACCTAACGTCTTTGCAAACGACATTTTACTTCACGTTATAATTTTATTTTTTCTACTTTCAGGATGAAGCATTTGCTCTGTGGAAACACCAATGGGCAAGGTTATATCCCGAGGAATCAAAATCACGTGAGATTATCGACACTATTCACGATAGCTACATGTTGGTCAATTTGGTTGATAATGATTATGTCGCTGGGAATTGTTTGTTTGAAGCAATAAAGAAAGCACTCAAGCTGGCAGAAATGAAAAAAGAAACAAATCTTTCCGTCGAATCTCATTTAAAGACAGTTACGTCGGGGCATAGTAGAGTATAACTTGTTATAATTGCCTATAGATATATATATTCAGGGGCGTAGGAACCATGGGGTACGTGCCCCCCCCCCCTCAAATTTTTCAGGGGACGAAAAGTGCCCTTTTCGTGATGAAAAATGTCTTTTTGGAGATGTTGATGTAGCTTTAAATGCTATTTTAAAATCTAAAGTACCCTCTTTGTTCCCTACGTATGCCCGCCCACTTACAGGTGCCCAAATCTTTCTGTAGAGCATAAATATACACTAGTCGTGTACTTGCTGTTTTGGTAATCAAACCGTCCTAATACATATTTTTAGCTACCCTTTTTATTAACAAAAAGTGCCCCTGGAAGCTAGAGCCCCCCCCCCCAATCTCTGGATGCTTCCTACGTCCATGTATATATCACGCTAAAGCCTGGCGCACACTGATGAACTTGGCACGCACACGTGTCACTGTCACCTTCACAAATTCCTAAACTTTGAGATATCCTCGCAGATTAAGGAACATGCATGTATCAGTGACAATTGTCACGAATGACATCTGCTCGTGCTAAGTTCACCAGTGTGCGCCAGGCACATTGAAGTGGAAGTCTAGTCCAAACAAACGGCTCGTTTACATTTTGAACTTCATATTGTCTTTAAAATACGACGTGCTGCAGTTTGAATATCTAACACAATTTAGGTTCGATACGCTTCTATGGCCCGGGTTAAACATCGCAGTTAAGTCGCGTCCAATGCAATTCGAACAGTGGAGCTGAATGAGGTTTATCATCTCATTATCATCTCATCTCATTATCTATATTTTTTGAATCGACGCGTCCAAAATGCATATATACATATTAAGTGTAGAATTTATGTTCAGAAAAATTCAAAACATGTCGTCACATTGTTATAAGTAGAACGAACTTGACTCCCACTTTAATCAAACCAAAACCGTTGTTGATAAAATTAATACGCATAACGTTCGCGTTTCTGTACCGACGGATGCGTTTCTGTACCATTTGTTTGCAAAAATTTGCTTGTAGCTTTTTATTTGAACCGTTGTGGAAGGGTAGTGAACTGCACTATATTCATTGAAACCCACTATGCATGCAAAGTTTGATTGTATGCATGCATGGTAACCATGCAAACTGCATGATCATGTTTTTAGCCATATTATGTAAAACGGCTCATGCATAAGTTATATCATTGTACGTATTCACAAATGTTGGCATTTATTTTATACCTAGTGCCCAAAATATGGTTTGGTACAATTATTGAAAACATTGTTTTAAGTTGTACGAGTTTTAATAAATCTGAGAATTGTAGCATACGGCTTACATTTTTGCATGCGATTTCAGTAGATTTTTTAAGTTCTGTATCTGCAATTAGGGCAGTCAAAAAATATGTACAAAATACAAATGGCATGTAATATACCAGCGTAAGTTTTGATACCTGTTTCCAATAATTCGTCTTAGTTTTGCGTCACAGTTGTGAAACTTTTAAAAACGAAGTCATGTAGTCTATCGCTGGGAAGCACTGAACGTAAGCCTTCAAATTTCGACAAAACGAGTTACAATTTAACTAATTTACATCATTTTGCGTTTCTTTTCCAAATTTGTACAGGACGTTATTTTATTCTGTCTTATCCAAGATGGATTTCTTTCTTGAAGAGTGTCAACAGTTAAGCCAACCTATAGACCCTTTCATTCTTTTGAAATGTAAATAAAACAGGCAAATTAGTAAATTACTGAAGCCCTCGTCCAGTTTAAAACAATAGCGTGCATGTATTCCTTTTCCGACCAATTATGGCCAGAGAATTTGATGACGTGAGGAGGGAAATTTGGAAAGGAGTTGGGCGTGCTTTGATACAGAAAGTCGTTATTGAACATTTGCTTGTTAGGGCTAGACGTTTTGGACATAGTATTGTGAAAAATCTTCAAAACCACGAGAACGTGGGGGGATAACAAGGCGTCTATCTTGTTAGCGCTGTTGATGACTACGTCTCTACAGGTATTTATACTTAAAAACAACCTATTTCTAAATGTTCTCCGCTATGGATCAACGCGTTTTGTTGAATTTGAATGCATGCTAACCTTTGTAATACAGACTGCCTTTGTAAAAATACAGATCTTCTAAATATTGGACTAGTTCAACCATCATACGTTTTCTATAACTCGCACTGGCATTTCTTGTCACTTTAGAGCAAAAACTGGAGAAAAAGCGCAAGATTTGAAGGGAAATGGCAACGTGTAAGGTTAGTTCATGCGAGACCAGATTTTAGATATAATTTTCTATGACTATGGGCCTTGGGCATGCATGTAATCGGTTTGTCGATTTGTTTTCTTCGTAAATAGATTATTTATGCGGGTGATGAGAACTTATAAATTGGTTTCGTTTGAGTTGAAGATCAAAGCGAACACTTTGTATTCTGAATCGTGATATTGTCGTCTTTAAGTCTTTAGTAACTTAATTTCAGTGTTATGGGCCTACTTCCAATTCGCGCGAGAATTAGGAACAAAAATTTATATTATATCAGAACAAGATACACGATGTTTTATATCGGTTTTAATTTCAGACAAGACTGTCTATAATTCTGTCAATATAGACTCTGTATACATCGGTTTCACAAATGTAAACCTCGTTAAAACAACTCGCCAAAACAGCGGGAATGTTGTAGGCGCAAGATTCAGTATGGTTTTTGACAAATCCAATGCACAACGTGCCACATCTCGATATTTGCTTTGACTGTTCTTGGTCTGTACATCCGCGCAACCCAGACCGCTAAAAGGGGGGGGGGGCAGGGGGGCGTTTATGCTCTAAGAAAAGTGATTAAAGGCGATCCCTAAGTGCACGCAAATGCGTCAGACGTTTTCTAATAAAAATTGCAGGTGCCACTTTCAAGGGCAAGGAAATTGATGATAGCAAGTTGGACTTCAATGGGGTGAGGGCATGGGGATTATTTCATTTTTGTCCATGGTTGTCCTTTTGTGCAATTTCTGAATGCTTTCGAGGTTTCATTTGTGCTCTTAAAGTAGGAATCTTCGTGAATGCTCCAGTGATTTCGTAGTTCAGCCCCCTGTACCGGAGCATGCTTTGAATGATTGACTGTGATGTTGATTTTCTCCGGGTGTCAGTTGTGTGCATGTGGGGGGAGGCGCCGCCGTTTGTGTGTTCATCTTTCGGGAGGCCTGCGGGCCTAGCTGATATTCGGGGAGAGTTCACAGCCGAGTGTCCGGGGCGCGTCCAAGCAACTGAGCTATGAAGTTCCTGGAGTGTTCACGAAGGCTCGTACTTCAAGAGCACATCTGGAACCTCGAAGGTATTCGGAAATTGAGCAGAAGGTCTACAATGTACACGGATGGAATGATTTTCAGAAACTCGCCAAATTGAAGTCTCACATGTTTAAATTTTTGGAGATGTCCTTTTGACTGGCATTTGTACTCGTTCCCAGACCTTTGCTATATATGCGTACGGGTCATGGCTAAGATTTGCTGTAAAAGCAAGCAATATGCTCACGACCAGATTCTAGACGTGCTTGTTGTACTTCCTGAGTTTTGTACTTCTTCGTATTTTGCACTTCCTGACTTTGCTATATGCTTACAGTCATGTTATGTCCTTATTTATTGACCTTGCTATATGCAGAGGGTCGGAATTTAACAACGCGAGTCATTTCTGAAGGGAACGTTTTCTTTAGTTGTTTGGCATTTGATTATCAAAATCATTCTTAAAGCGTGCATGTGATGCTTAGACTATTGCATAATATTCAGTTTACCTTTCTTGAGTTTCAATTTTCGAACTTACAGTTTAGGATTTTTTTAACCGGCCGCTTCTAACATTAAAGAAATACGGGTGAAAGGGGCCCCTCATTTGTATTTCTGTGTTGAAAATCATCCGCTCCTGTTAGCGCCTAAACCTACGAGCATGACAAATAATTTTAGCAAGGGGTTTATAGTATATTATGCTCTAGTCTGCATCGGTTTAAAGTGAACAAATCACGCAAGCATTCATGATTTCGCTTGCACCAAAAACAAACATTTGAGCTGATAATTTTTAGGATTAATTTGTTTCCTGACTACATTATGCAGAAATAGGTTCTTTAGGGAATTGAAAATAATTTTCAATACGATCATTTGGATGAGTTTTTTTGGACGAGCGCTGCGCTCGCAATCGCGGCGAAAAATGCAATGAAATTGAAAGCGATGCTGAAATACGTGATGTCAATACATGGTACTTAAATACTTCAACAAATCGTAATTCTGCGGGAACATAAGATTGTGTTAACGTTGGAGTGAAAATTCGTTAAGGTATGCGACGCACTATCATGGAAAAAGAGCGACATTTTTAGGCTTAAAATGTTGTCTCTGCGAAGGTTGGATGGGAGTTTGACAAACAGACAATCGTATAGGGGCATGCAACCCAGTTTGTGGAGGATCACCAGGGTGCGATATAGGATGCACCATAGGTTAAGTTAGGTTTAGGGCATGATTGAGAATCCACATCTGGGTTTATCTGACACGACATTGCGCGCGCTAATTCCCATTTCAACCTTCAAATATGGCGTTTCAAATATGGCGTTTCAAATATTCAATGCAGCGGCGACATTTGTTTCTTAATGATTATATTGTTCTTTTTTTTAGGTTATAAGTTGTAAATAGATGTATTTTGTAATAAGAGTAAATAGTTAGGTTGGGGGGCCCCATTAGGTTTCGGAACTTCGGCTGTTTCGGATATAGGTTTCGGAACTCCGTCATTTCGATTTCGGAGGAGGGTTTTTCTCCGGGTACTCCGCGGTTTCCCTCCTTAAAAAAAACAATGTCCATGTTCGGGGCGAAAGTGATTTGGGTTTTGATTACATATAATATGACGCAATTCGGATAATAATTCGGTTAATTCAGATACGGTTACCGCTAGTCTTATAGGCCACTTATTTGCCATTGATAAATTACATGATTTTAGATTCGCCGTCGACACTAAGAAGCCAGCCAAACTTACCAAAGGCCACATTTACCTCTCGAGAGATTTATGGTTAAAGATTGTATAGATCAGAAATTAAAATTTCGCTGAAATACTCGAGAAATAAACTGGCCTCTGGGTTCAACTCCCAGAACACTGATAACAAGTACGATCGTACTATAGTGGACCAGGAACTGCGTGACCGAGTTTCTGAACTGCATTGTATTACAACAATAGAATAATTGTGCCAAGTTTCATTCCGATCAAACCAGTAATGATAGAGCCTTAGGTTTTTTTAAAGAACGTCGCCCCCTAACAACAACAACGACGACGATGACAAAATTAGCAGCGGTTGGAGACCAGTTCCTGGTCCAAAAATCACTGCGAAAAACGACAAAAGTAAGGTTAAACCTAAAGCCAATTAATCCAATTATCAATAATTCAAACTGAGATCTCAAATTCCTTGGCAACGAAGAAAAGGAGGCTGAGACTAAACCCGATAAAGCAATAACTTTGGAAGATAAAGAGAAGACAAATAAGAAATCAAGTGATAAAATATCAGTTCACCCACGCAATGAACCACGAGTCTAAAATGATAATCGAAAATTTTAAAAGGTAGCTATGTATTTGCCGACACCCAATGGTCTTCCTCTGATAGAAGCATGTTTTGTCTAAGAAAAACGACAATTAAATTAAAAACACCACAATCGTAATAATAAAATAGTAAAAGATTAAATATTAAATACTACAGTTTAAATAGACTAAAGTTGCAATTATGGTACATTGTCTAGAAATTGCACATTGCCACCAATCGGATATTGATCCAAGCATGCTGAATGATCTGGGTCTGGGCATTTTGCAGGAGCGTCGGGTGGATAGTACGACTTCTTCCGAAGATACTCCGAACTACTAAAATACTGAGCGAGAAATTTTCCTCGTGCCAACCTTCCCGGATTTCGCGGAACCGTAACCCAGTCCTTACCTATGCGAATTTTAGTAGGTAGTTGATTCTGTTGTGACATTTGACTGTCTTCGAGTGATTCACGAGCATACATATTAACTTGCCAGTTTTTAGTTGATATAGTAAAACCTGTTGTTCCAGATTTGCTCGACTGGAATGAAAAACCAGCGTTCTCGAACTTTGGGCGAATTTTTTCGAAGGCTTCGAAGTACTTTTTTTCGAAATAAATTACGGCGTTTTTGCTCCAAGCATGTGTAGAACCAAAGTGCACGGCACCTAAAATACAGACAAAGGTTTTAATAGGGTTTTAATAGGCTAGCCAATAATTAAATACCATATTCCAATTTAAAGATTTCATTGGTTAAGAGTATTTCGATTTCAGCATTGAGATGGTCCAGTACACTAAAAATCACGATTTACCCTGTTTTAAAAACTTCAACAGTATAATCTTAAATGTCCCCTAATCGATCCCGAATATTTATTCTTTAAAAATACATATAAGGAAGGCGAGAAATAAATGAAAATTATTATTTCGAGTTTTACCCTGAGCAAACAAAGGGGGCGATTGGCTTATTCAATTGTATTCCGTCCAGTCTAAGTGAGATCTTTTATATTTATTGCCTGCAAAATGTTTATAATACTGCAAAAGTTGTAGACTCTAAATAAAACGAATTCCTTCGTTCTGGTGTTAAAACCTGGTTAGTTATCGTGTTAGAAAAAATCGTCCATTCTCCATCATTTGGTGTGTCTGGTGAATGCACTTTCATGTAACCCTTAACTATGATGAATGCACTTTCATATAACCCTTTTTTTCTCAGAAATAGAACGCCTGTTCTGGTGTTAACTCCGGCGTGCCGTGCACGTGCCAGTCTTCAATATAAAGCATCGGAACATAAACAATCAACAGTTATTACTCATTTAGATCAGCCTCGTCCCCGGCGCGTGTTTTATTAATCGGTGTTTTATTAATATTAATCGCGTAGTAATGTTTGTCTCGCGGGAGGACACGCACGAAGCGACAGCGTGGGGGAGAACGCGCCTGGCAGAAAATGTTTCGAAAAGTGAAATTTGTGTCGAAAAGTGAAATTTCCATTGTTGATAATCTTTGATACCTTGAATAAGAACAGCATTACAGTATTAAATGGTTGAAGAACTTAACAAATCGTTTGAAAACGTGAATATTGAAGGTAAATTCTTATATTTTCTTGTATTTTCTGCAATCGCGCATAATACATCTTCGGATTCTTTGAATGTTTCTTCCGCCATCTTGAATACATTTTCTGCCAGGCGCGTTCTCCCCCACGCTGTCGCTTCGTGCGTGTCCTCCCGCGAGACAAACATTACTACGCGATTAATATTAATAAAACACCGATTAATAAAACACGCGCCGGGGGACGAGGCTGCATTTAGATCAAAAGGTTGTTCGATCGCGAAATTCAGAAGCACATCGTACATTAAAAAGTATTCTAGTTCAATTGTTCAAAAATGTAGCTAAATAAACCGCATGATACGTTCACTTTGTCTTACACTTTGCCTTTGGAATTCGCGCTTATGTATATTTATATTGAATCTTCAATCCTGTGCAAACTGCGACGTGTCAACACGCCCATCATCTTGTAAACGGCGAAATAGCAGCGATATTATTAAAATAGGACCAGAATCTACATGTATTAGATATATTTTATGACCCCAATTAAATCTAAACTTAATCGAACAGCATCAAAATTCTTTGATTTAACAGAAATAATAACTTTAAATTTTGTGAACAATGTCTTTGAGCAGAGTGATTTGCGAAGTGAGAATATCGTTATAACTTCTGTCTGTGGTCCAACATTTTACCTTTCTGATCTAATAGAAATTTTCTTAAAATTGCATCGTACAATTTCCTAAGAGAATTTTCTATATGACACCCTTCATTTGGTTTTTTGGGTGTGATTGAATTTAGTGAAAAGAAACTAAATTTAAACCTATCATGTATGGGATCAGGGGTGTTATATAAAAAAAAATAATCATCTTTTTACCTACTATATCCCCAGCAGCGTATTCACATCCTATTTTCTCGTCTTCGCAAGCTTGCATTATAAATTTTACCACTTCACCTAAAAAAAGGAGAAAAAACTTTTCATAAGCTGTATTAACATTCGATAACTGAGGTGGTCTGATATTTCGGTCAGTAACCTCATCATAAAGTTGGCATGACATAATACAACCATATTACACTACATTTTTACCTCCCTCTACAAAAGTCCATGCGAAGAGAAGAAAGGATTTAATACCTGATCCTTTAATAACAACTTATAGGGATGACAAAAACACTTGAAGAAAATATAATATAAGATACCTAAATTCCAGAGGTCACATGGTGGTACTCCAATACCATTCTTCCATAAACACCCAATCTTATTGGTATAGTTCAGACCACGTCTACAGCCATACCATTTCACCGTGCCATCGCTGGTAATAATCTTCTTGATGCTATGCTTGTTAGCCAAGCCTACCAATGCTTCGTTGGGTATGAGTTGTGTGTCCATATTGAACATTACATCTGCACATACGACAGCGAGGTTCCGTTCTTTTTTAAATCTCCAAAAGAGGTCATGAAATACTCCTTCTGAAAGACTGTATTTAAAATAAAGAACATTCTCGTTGGTCAAGAAACAAAAGTCATTGAAATACAACAGAGGCTGCAAAAAGCATGTTTAAAAGAGCAAAGTGTCCCTTTCCCAATTTTTCGTTTCGAAAGATATTGAAAAAGACATTCAAAAAACGAGAGCGGGCTTTGCCTCATCTTGTTCATCCCATGTTATTTAGAGACAAATATTTAATTGAATCCAATCTCAGGACCGTATCAAGAATCCAAATTGTGGGTTACATATGTCTTATGCCTGAAGGATTAAGTTATTGCTACGGTATGACCTAAACATGAATATCTGAATATACAACCCCCAAATTACGCGGTGTAGCTATTGCTCGGCTTGATTTAGCTTGGACTGTCATTGTATGATGGTAAGGAAATTTTCAGGACAACACGTTTTCATCTCAAGTTTTGCGCTGAGAGCACTCGGGCAAAAAATATGAGTCGCAGTGTACTAATACCTTGTATCAAACTTCAGTGATCGCAACCATTCTGTTTTGGCTGCAAATGGTCCTGGGAGGAAATCGCATACCACACATTCATTAAAGGACCTATGATATCCTGCAGTGTACTTAGCCGTCCAGTAGTTGAAGGATAACTGTCGACATCCAAGTTCCCAATGTCCCGTTAAATTCCGATAACTTCCTCCTGCCACTGATATGTCATCACGATAGCTTAAAACTCGCAGCAATCGATACAAATCAATATCATCATCAAAGTGGGTTAGATAAGGTGCTATTAATACATATGGTGTTGCCACTTGCTCAAGTAATTTTGCCCACATGCTTCCTTTATTTCCTTTGATCACATCATTTTTGAACTTTATTTTTAGGCCGGATATTTTTCTTATAGTTTCCTTATTCAACTCTTTCTCAGTTGCTAAAATAACCGGCACTTCAGGATAGTCATTGGAGATTGTTGTCATCATGCTAAGGTAACTCATGGCAGGTTTAGGATGTTCACGTGGGACGTACATTAGTAGGGTTACCAGTTGATTAATAGGGACAAAGGTGTCACATTTGACGCGAGCATAGCCTAAACGATAATATGGTTTACCATAACCCAAATCTTTTCCAGCGAACTTTTCAGGGCAAACCTCTTGGCTTTTTGCGTTAGTAACTGGTCCTTGTGGTGGTGGACTGGGTCTACTGATCGTATCCTGACCAATAAAATTTAATAGACCATTCACTTCATTAAATTGAAAACCTAATAAATATGAGTTAAGTTCTGTAGCATCAAAGTCTTTTTGCACATCCAGAATGTTCTTGGCAACGCTTCGCAACGTATTTCCCAATGCAACATCGAAGGAAACGCAAGTTGTGTTTGGTTCCACAAAATGAGGACGCGGGGTGTTTACTGTAAAATGGAAGCTTGCAAAACTTGTTTTATAATAGGTATACCATTCTCTGATTAGAACCAGAAACACTGCTACTATCGCGGCCATGCCAATATTTCGAGTTGATACCCTCATTTCAAACCAACCCTTAAATTATAAAAAAAATTATTAATACCTATCGCTGCTGCGATGTTTGCGCGCGGCGCGATAGTCACTGCATGACCTACAATCCTGGTCAAAACATTGACGACGCTCAGTGTTAACTGACACTACAGTCAGTAGTCACGGAATATATTTCAAAATTCCCCCCTTTCCCCCACAAATCAATGTTGGGTGATGTGTCAAAACCATTGAACTGTAAACAAACTGGAACGATAACTCAGAGGGGGAAATTGAAGTCAGTGCGTTTTACTTTTTCTTATAGTTTTGAGCTGAAATACTTGACGCCAAATGTTGGACCGTATATGAAATTAAAGCTATTAAAAAGTTATATTTCGTGCAGAAATTTCGTGACTTTAGCTCAAAGGGAAATATCTAAAAAATATTTGAAAATTTCCCGGTTTTTTGCCGGTTGGTAATTGTTTTTTTATATATTTCCTTTGTAATTCAAGTCTTGAAATTTCTACATCGAATATAACTTTTCAATAGCTTTAATTTGACACACAGCCCAACGTCTGGTGTCAAGTATTTCGTCTCAAAACTCAGAAAAACTATTTTGGCTTCAAGCTGAATAAGGGTGTTTGTCAGGAGTTATTGTTCCAGTTGTATATAAGTTCACTGGTCAAAACTTATTCAAGTATTTAGCCGATGGACTCGACATTGATTAGGGGGGCGAGGGGGGAAATTGAGACAGAAATGATGATGTTTTGCATAAAAAAACTACAAATCATTTTGAGTGTAGTCAATGGTTTTGGCCAGGATGTAGCTCACGTGCAGGAATAGTCGATACCTATTAAGGTACATAATCGTAAGTACTACTATCAGAACTCTAGTTGAAAATAGATAAATTTACTATGAAAACGACTCGTCGTCTTGAACCATAATTTTAGGGGCTGGATATATTGAAACTCGCTTTCGGCGGGAACCCGCCTTTGTTTATATTTCTTCTTACAGTCTGGCGTTGGCAATTTATATAATTATAGGCTCATTCAGACAGGACGCGATTTGGCAACGCGGCGAGACTCTTAAAGTTTTTCACTTTCCACTAGGAAATAGATTTTAACTTTCAATCATGTTCTTGTAGATTATACTTAACGGTAACACATTTATACTGCTCTGGTGTCCATAGATTCAAAATTTTACCAATACCGCAAGGTGTTGATTTGGCACCTCGAATTAATTTAACAGACCGAGTGTAAATCCAGGCAAACTGTAAAATCTATCACGGCAAATCTATCCTTTCGACGATTTTTCTTGACTCTTTCTTCTCTTGATTTTTTATTTATCCTTGCACGTTGGTCATATTCGGCAAATTTTCTCCCGGTAAAGAGGGCTCAGTTTTTCAGCGGTCTTCGCATACAAAATTAAAAGCTTTTCGTTTTACGCCTTGCTCTCAATTTTATGTAAGTTGTCCGCTGACAATATGAGCCTGCACGAGTGGGAGAAACTTAGCTAAGTTGGACCAGCGTGTTGACCCTCGACATTTTACTTTCGACCCTTGAGTCAAACTCGCAGATAAATTGTGTTGAATGTTTCAGGCCCTGTTTACCCAATACAGGATTCGCATACATTGTTATAAAAATTAGCCATAAAAAATTACTCAGTATCAAAGCTAGTTTTATACCCCCGAAAGTATAATACTATGATTCAGTTTTAACATTATCTGTCAAATGGAAAAGTTCTGGAGACAAAGATAACTTAAAACGACTTAAACTGTTGTCGCGACATTTGATTAATCTAATTCTTAGAACCAAAGATATATAATTAAGTGACCTTGATCGCGGACGTTTGAATATGGTAATTTTGTTGGTATAAAGACAAAAGTTATAGCTATTTTTGGTAATATGCTATGTTCAGTGAGCTGCACGATATCTAAGAAAATCCAACAATTCGCACATTTTTGCCTTGATCGACTTCGTGTTAGTATCTTAACTGTATATTATATACCCATGATAGCTGTTTGTTTTCGAGGAACTCTGTGCAGTCAATAAGTCAATGCTTGTCTGTTTCCATAAAGAAATTTTATTTATCAGCTTTGAATCGACTGGGCATTGTAATGTGAATTAGTTAGTTTGTCCTAGAAAGAGCTAGGAGTGAAGGAATGAGAAATTTAGGGTTATCATATAGCCATAGGAATAAACAAGAAAGGGAATCGAAGCAGTTATAATCGAAGTATTTAGTAGGTATAACTGAAAATAGAGGTTCTTTGTTACTTTGATAGAAGCACTTATACCGTTTATTTATATTAATTAATTAATATACATATATGATATATAGCCGTTCATCGTTTGTATCTCTTTACTGTAATCCGTCGAGTGAATGCATGGCGTCGAAATAAAGTGGTTTATTCTGATTGCTTACTTTTATGAAATGACAAGTGACGTTGGCAAGTCCTGTTAAAATCCGAACCGAGACTGTTGAGAGATGGTTTGAACACAATTGCAATTATGGAGCATTCCAAACAACTCTTCATAAATAATTTCGCAAATAGGTAACTGCCATACAATGCAGTTGTTAAATAAACAGTATTAGCGTTGCGAAAAATTTGGACTCAAATAAATTCGTTTAGTAGTTTTATAATTCACACTACAGAAGTAAACAAAGATGTCTCGCCACTTGTCTATAGCATTCTTATTGGCAACTTAAATACTTGTTTTCGTGACATATATAGCTATATAGTCTATACCACAAGAATATAAGGATAAATGATGTAGACTCACCACCGCAGTCCGCTTGCTTTGGCCCCCAAACGTGTATAAATGATAAAAAACAGAGGAATAGATGAGTATGAATGACGTTTCACTATCATGCTGTTCAGTACAAAATCTCTTTTCTTAGGTATAATACAATTTACAATTTTAGGCATTGTTTCCCTCCATTTTGTTATGCAAAGTGGACACGCATACCTTGCTAGCTTGCTGGAGTGTAACAAAATGCTCAATGGAACTAAACCAGAGTATTATATGTGAAAAACGACTCGACAATTTGCAGTTGGCATCTTTCATGATTACACTCAGTGGCGTAGCCAGCAGCCAGCCTGACGATTTTGTCCTGCTACGTAAATCTCAAGTTATTATATAATTATTCATGTCTTTAGAAATTTATTGTTTTCACAGTCAACACCAAAATATTAGCATAGCCGGACAAATCGTCTGACTGGCTACGCTACTGATTACACTTGGCTACATAATAGTTTCTTACACTGATGTGGCATTCGTCAGATAAATCAGCCTACTCTTTATCTTGGCATGCTACAGCTGTAATACGCTGAACACTCAAAATTATAGGCTCCTAAACTTATATAGCGTGTCACATGAAGATGTAAATTCATAATTCATTGTGTTTATATATATACGTGGACTATAGCCTTTTGTGGTTAAAACAAATCGAAATACCTCTCCCATAAGCATAAGTTTAATTTCAAGCAGGATCGTATGCATTGTCTTGCCTTATTCAATGGATGTATAAAGTATACTTCACTAATCACTAAAACATTGCAACCACACGCTGAATTACGTTTACAAATTACAAAAGGTATCGTTTGAAATCTATTAAAAGTTTATGTGTAAGGCGGCGTACGACGAAAGGGACCAATTCAGCAATTGATGATGTTTCTTGGTATGATGTTGATGCCTGATGGATATACTATAGTATTATTATGCATTTCACGCTTTTTGATTCTTTCGAGATCGTTTAAGAGGTACACGAGATCTCACTAGTATCACTTGAATGAAAACTCTAGGGCAGTTCTGTCAATGGACTGCCTTACGAAGTGCTGCAATGTATAAACAAGAACGAACACGACAAGTCAGAGAGAAATTAATGCTGAACGCCAGGAGACAAATAGCGATTATATCAGTGTCCCTATCAGTGTGGCTCACAGAGAGTTCTTTATATTAAAAATATTCACCATAGCAACTTTTGTAGTATTTGTTTTATTCGTTTATTCGTGATATTTGAGGGATAAGATGTTTATGCATTGTGTTCTATGTATCAGTAAATACCATGATTCATGCGATGTTTTCATGTAAAAGTAAAACTTAATTCATAAGTTCGAAAACGCCAACACTTCTGTAGTCAGTCAACAAGACCTCAGACCACGTCACGCTAAATTTCTGTATGAACAACGCGAGCTTAACGCCTAGCTGCATGGCGTCTTGGTTTCTTTCAAATGCCATAATCAGTATAGATACTTGGACCACTTGCATAATAGATCAACTTGTGATCTTGGTAACAAAAAGAAAATAAATCACCACATGTCTCGTAGTACGGAAAATATAGGCGAAGTAGGCAATTTTGAACACTTTTTTACTGCGACCGAAAGTGTTACACGTCCGGTCGTAATACAAAAGTATACAAAATTTGCCAACTTCGCTTGACTATATCTTCGGCACTTTACAAAATTTCGAAGCCAAGTTTAGCATGCACCTTTCGGAAATTCCCTTTTTGTTGCCCAAATCAAAAGTTGGGCTGTTATGCAAGTGGTCCATTCTGTAGCGCTCGGCTTTTCATAAAATTAATTATTATAAATTTTATTCAAATAAGCCTTATAAGCCCCGTTTACACTACACTCGATTTTTTGGTACGGCGCGGCTAAAATGGGTTCTAGAGCCCATTTCATTTGTGCTCGGCCTTTTGGTAGGTTGAACAATAAAACAATTGGGTACGCGGGTATCAATTTTAAATGTGCCGTGCATGACAATAAGTTGAGTGTATAGTGTAAAGGGGGTTATAGTTAGGGTAACTAGTTTTAAACGTATTTTCGGTGAGTCCGATCTTCAGGGATTACGGACTACGGTTAAAAAATTTGTGTAGTAAAGATGCGATTTTGGACACTCGGAAATGTCTGCCCGACATTGGTAACAGGATAAGCGTAGATAAACAGAATAATGAGTAGTCTCCTGGGTTTCCACAACTTATTTGCATATGACTGTGCAGTATGACTATTGCATATGTGCATATGGCAATGACATAAAAGAGAAACAAAGAACTTTTGAAAAGAATACAGTCATAACATATCTATTAAAACAGATCCCTCCCTCTCTCGTGGTTGCCAATTGCAAGGAGTTTCTTTGCATTGTGGGAGTCTGGTAGTCTCCACTCATTTCTCGTTCGATATCGCCGATTTATATTCATCAATTTCGACCGATTTACTCAATTTTGCACTGGATTTTTCTGCATTCTAACGCTTCAGGTCGGATCAACACAATGTTATAGAGTCATTAAAGAACCAACCGAGACACCAAACGAAAAATTAGTTGTGGGAGAACGGGTCTTTAGGGAAAAGTGCTCAAAATATATTGTAAATAAGGTCGAAGTTACCCCTTAAACTCGCGTTACAGCTTTGTGCATGTAGTTTATGGTACAATTAATTATGCAGTCCTGGCCAAGGACTCTGATGTCCTCAGAGGTTGTGGATCCCCATGTTGGATGTCCTCAGGGGTTTAGCAACGCTACTCCGTGCCGTAATAAATGCCTTAGTCTTTAGCAAGCTCTATTACTGTTCATTACTGTTCAACCATATGGGCAAATTCGCCGAAAAAAAATATTGCAAAACTACAAAAAGTTCAAAATTTTCCTGCACGTATCGACACGGGAAAAAGAAAATTCGACCATATTACTCCGTCTTTTAAGGAGTTGAATTGGTTACCAGTTAAATACATGTTACGTTTAAAACGTAAGGGGCTGTTTACATGAGTCCGGTTACCCGAGATACGACGAAGCGTGAGAGGACTTTGAGATATTAAAATAAGTCTTTTAAGACACCAAACAAGCACATGCTATTGTTGTGGTGATTATACGACTGCCAGAATCATATTATCTGCTCATTTCAATACCTCAAAATCATCAAACGCTTCGTTGAATCTCGCGGGTAACCGGGCTAATGTAAACAGCCCCTAAGAGACACAGTAATGGTTTTTAAATGTATGAGAGGTATGGCTCCATCTTATCTGTATTCCATGTTTCAAACAAGAATGGCATTCTTAGAATGCCATGAATGATCAACAAACTGCATGTAAACAATATTTATAAAATAACATGTATATATATAACGCGTGTTCTGAATAGTCGAAGCCCGTGTTTGGATCAGGCCATCTAAACACGGAAACCATTAAGTATTTGTATAATCTCACACTGAGTATGCAACGGAACTGAAGAAAAAAATTACTGAAGCGTTTGAATGCCTGCAGCAGGGAAACGCTCGAGTCTTCGCACGGAACACACAAAAACATTATTACGACAGGTGGGCAAAAGGAAATGTTCAGTACAAAGAAGGAGATCAGGTAAGGTGGAAAGATCGGAAAACCAGGAAAGGGAGATGTATGAAGCTGAAAAAACCTTGGACGGGTGCATGGATTGTGGATTGTCCATCACAATCAATTAAAAGGATTTTACGAGACGAGGAAAAAAAAGTACAATCACAACAAACCTCTAGACAACATGTAGTCATGCAGGGACAGTAATACAGTCGAGAACAAGAATGACGTTGTCATCGTAGACGGTCCAGATATCGCCGACGAACGCGAGATACAGTAGATTCAAGACGAAGCAGAATGTATCTGATGACTGCAAAAGATCGTGTATATTCATGTTACGGGCTGTTTGTACATGAGCCCGGTTATCCGAGATTCAACGAAGCGTGAGAGGACTTTGAGGTATTGAAATAAGTCTTTACGACACCAAACAAGCACATTCTATTGTTGTGGTGATTATACGACTGCCAGGATCATGTTGTCTGCTCATTTCAATACCTCAAAATCATCTCACGTTTCGTTGAATCTCGGGTAACTGTGCTCATGTAAACAGCCCCTTATAGCAGACCGTAAAAACAATCAATTTCAAAAGGTACTCATCATGCTAAACATGAATTAAAATATGAATATCAGCACCACCCTCACATAACTATCTTCCGTCGTCGTTTCAACAGTAGACCGCAGTTTACGATCTTACGACGCGTTAGCTCAACGTCGCTATAAATATTATAGTCACTGATTATTTTGCCAGAAATAAGCTACGGGAAATTAATTACGCTGCTAGGAGTTTGAAATAATCATACTAATGCTTCAATTGCAAATTTAAAAAATGAAAATTAAAAAATTAGAAAAAAATTAGCAAAATCGGATATCTGGCTGATATTGCAGTTTCATATAAGCTATATCAAACAGCTATCATGTTGTCGCTACTTTCAGATCATCGAGAGTCGTGAAAATACCTGAATTGAAGGCGTCGTAAGAATGAGAACGATGTCATTAAGCACACGTTATGCATACCTATTGTATCGCGTGTGGAGTGTTTTTGTTTTGCAACCGCGTCGTCGAGCTGGCTGCGCTATTAATCGTAAACTCCCTAGTAAGCAAATTTGGTTGATTCTCTTCGCCACCATTCGTCATTCAAATCCACCATTGAATGTTGACTAACACACTTTGGAATAGCTTCTTCTCCCAAAATTTTTATTCAGGAGCCCGATTTTGGTTCAGGGTTGTCAGTTTGCTGAATAAAAAACCCAAACATTGTCGTAGTCGACCCTTTTAGAGAAAACAAGGATTATGCATGGTAACATAATATTCGGCTAATTTATATTTAGAAATCTGGCAACCCTGGTTCGGATTTGTTGATCGAGGCTGCAAGCTATAACGAGATTTATATGATATTTGTCAGTCACTTAAACAGACTAGAATAGTCTTAATTATAATTATTAGAGTTGCAACAAAGCGAGTTTTAAAAGTTTAGAATGTGACAAACAATTTAAAAAAACGCTGGCGCCAGGCGAAAGCCAGCAATCGACCATAATTACGAATAACTAGTAAATAGATAGATGGGGTAAAATTAGAAACTTGAAATCACAACATGTTTACATTTTACCATGGAGACCTGCAAACAATAAATGCCAGAAATTGAAATGAACCAGCAGGGAATTCTTGTTTTCGATCCATACACAATAAATTGAGTAAATGCATGTACAGCTTTCATTTTGCTTTACAGTGTTTACTTACTTGAATCAAAGATCAAAAACAGCGATAACAGAAATTGAAAAGGTGGGTCATTTTTCTCAATCAACCATTATTTAGTTAGAGGTCTGTAAACTCTTTTTAAACGAAACCAGTACGAGTTTAATGTTTCAAATCGATAACATAGTATATTATATTGCGTGTACGCATTGTTATCGTGACATAAACATAACGGACCAAGTTTCTAAAACATTTGTACTACCCTAAATTGCATGTAAGGTGTATAAAAATCTAATTGCTCGTTTGCACACGCAATTTTTTCGCAATTTTCCTTTTCTTCATCGGTTTAAACGAGTAAGAAAGTCACGGGGGCGTGTGCATGTAAGGGCTAGTGCTTTGAATCATACTCGCTGGATTGCGTATAACAGAAGAGAAAAATCCGGACTGAATATTGCATCAAAGATATGATGGGAAATTGGTAAAAATTATTTGTCAGATGACTAGAATCGATGACTAGAAGTACGAATAGAAGTACGTATACGTCTTTTGATCAAGTTTGTTGATCAACTTCGATAAAACAACAAACTAAACAGAACCGGATTTGGCGGGAATGACAAATTTCGTATACACAGTGGTCGAAGTTATAGTCACGACCAAAAGCTTTTTTAATATTGTAGCAGCAAGATATATTTTTAGGTTTGATTTCAAAGCTTAGCACTTGACTAAATAAAAATTATCACTACCAGTAGGGAATCCGCGTCGGTTTATTAAAACGATTATTACTGCGCCTTCTTTAGTAAAGGAATTAGGAAATTTGAATTGCTGAATGCTCATCAATTACAGTTAATAATTGTACTCTGATTCAGGGTTCGTTCTTTTGACTCAAACGGTCGAAATGTACAAATTTGTTATGACTCTCTTTCTCAGTGGGAGCGTGCATGACGAGCTGCATGACGTAAAGTCTTCCTGCTTTATAAAACTCAACTGAAGCAGGGGAAAAATTTAAAAGCAGAATAAGGTAGCTACCATATTCTAAAGCCTAATATATCATCAAAGTAATTACTTTAAAGTTTGTTCAAAAGTCGTTGATATATAAGTGAATATTTGCAAATCGGCAAAATGTAAAATGAATTAGCATTGACATGCATGCATTGTTCACCTCTGCGGGGAGAGGATGCCGATTATAATAAATAACGCGTGTAGTCTACAATGGATAAGGGCTATACGGCAATTAAAAACGTTTGTTTTTCTGAGAATTGTTAAAAGCTTTGACAGATAATTTAGATATGCATGCAATTGAGTTTCAGACGAGAGTCGAGCGGCAAGCAGGTAAGGACTGAGCTACTGACCGAAGTAGGCCCGTTGAGCGCCATGGAAGCTGTGCAATTACCAGCTTGTTACTAGGAAAAACCCCGTCGACGTAAAGAAATGCCAGAAATATTTTTACTTTCGAAATAAATGTGGATTGTACTGTAGATTGCTTTGATAAATGAACAACATTTACGAACAAAGCACGACTTGCGACCGTCATTAGAGACCTTTAGCTTAACCAATATGACAAACCGCGAACAGCAAACGGTTAATTTCAAATAACATTTAAAATTAGATTTTTGACACATGCTCGCCCACAATTTATCTCAGTAATCATTCTATGTTTGAAAATAATGCATCAATTTTCGCGGCCTCAGAAACCTAGCATTTGTTTTGAAAATTCGAAATGAATTTTTCTGTTTGCCGTTAGAGGGTTATCGTCAACGTCAAGCTAAAGGTCTCTAATAATTCGTTAAAAAGCGGCACAATTTCTGCTGTAACTAACACATACTAAACTTGTGTGTAAAAATATTGTCTATCAAAATATGAAACATATATGAAATATGAAATATATTTACGATATTATGGGCGGAGAAATGGATTTTATGTTCAAGTGAGCGCAGCGAACGAGTGGGAGATAGACTTATAAGGCGTTGGAGATAGACTTATAAGGTTATACACATGCAGGGTTGCTAGATTACTGATAAATAAACCCTTTGATTTGTTTGTTTCAAACAAAGAAAACAACGATTATGGTAATATCATTACCAGAAATTTGGTAAGAAATTATCAGAATATGGTAATATCATTACCATGGTGATTTGCATATAAACTAATTTGAATCTAACTTCAACAATAATGTCTTTAACTTTTACTATAAAATACATATAGCAAAAGTACAACACCTAAAATTGCCTTTACCCTGGATGTTGCCCACTGTTTGCAGACCTCTGGATTAACAGAACAGCCGTTTTGCAACGTTTTGATGATCGAATTACTTACCTTGGGTATTTGTACGTTCCGCCAACTGACTGTGTTCAAATGTGTATATACGCTTTGTATGGTTGAACTGCCTTATGAGATTGATAATATTTTTAATGTGCAACTGCAGAAGGACCGGGCCGCACAGGAAAATTCATATTAAGAATACAAAAGACAATATCTTTAACAAAATTTTTTAGTATATTACACCTCAATTCGTCAAAAATCAGCCGAAAATTTCGTCATAAAACGCCTAAAAAGAACGTATTTGAATTAGTGCAAATGCAAAGTTTGGCTGCAATTTTTGTAAAATACGAAAAATACTGCCATGCGAAGTTGGCAAACTTTGTATACTTTTGTATTACGCGCGGACATGTGCAACTACATTGTATTTAGTTACAAACTTCCGGCCATAATACAAAAGTATACAAAAATCGACAACTTCGCACGGCTATATTTTTGGACCAGGAACTGGTCCCTAACCGTTGCTAATCTTGTTGTTGTTAGGGGGCGACGCTCTTTAAAAAAACCTCAAGGCTCTATCATTACTTGTTTGATCGGAATGAAACTTGGCACAATTATTCTAAGCATTATTCCGCATCGATTGACGGAGTTCGAATTTTTACTTTTGACCTTTGAAGCAAGTTACAAGCAATTCTTGATATATTTGCAGCAAATAATATATACATATCATTAATATTCAGTAAAGTAAACGGAAACGATTAGAAATACATTGTCCTCTCCATTGTTATAAATACAATGCAGTTCAGAAATTAAACTCGGTTACGCAGTTCCTGGTCCCTATCTGTAGTACGATCGTACTTGTTTCGTAATCTACAACAATTCGCAGCCAAACTTTGCAGTTTTACTAATTAGTAAGCTCTTTTACCGCCGAGATAAGAAGAAGTTAGTCTAAAGGTCGACACAGACCGGACGCGAAGCGGCAACGCGACGCGAATTTTCAGTTTTCAGAAGCATATAAATTAAATTCTGGCATCAAAATTTGGACTCTATGCACGCTAGAGCAATCAAAATTTATTATTTTTATGTAATCTACAAGAAAATTTTGATAAGTTAAAATTTATTTGCTTTTGAAAAATATAAAACGTTGAAAATTCGCGCCGCGTTGCCAATTCGCGCCCTGTCTGTGTGGGCCTTAAAGCGCATGCAAGTCATCCATTAATTACAATTATGTATTAAAGCATTACTATATAGAGACCAACATTGCAAAGGAGAAGGGGGGGTGGTGGTAGTTAAAACCTAATGAGAAATAGTGCTAGTCTGCACATGCAGTGCCATCAACTTCTGGCCATGCAAGATTGTAAAAGCTTAATTGGGGGGGGGGCATATTCATATATTTGTCTTATGCCGGACTGATTTCTTTTGTACGCTATTGTTACCTTTGAGGTGCTTACGTCACGCGACTGTCAAACAATTAATTGCAATGCAATGTGGGAGACATGTAGGAAAAATTAACCTCATTTTACATAGTGTGACGTAAGCACCTCTTAATGTCTATTAAGTGGTCTAGTTATGGTCCTTAATTTTATGCCTCTTTCATGCTCCGTACGACTACTTACGAGTAATATTTTTACTTTTATCTTTTGCAAAACGGCATATTGCAGAAGACAGTATTGTGCCAGCAGCCAATTGCCATTTAATGCCAGAGAGTGATGACAAATGTAAATATATCTCCTGTTTTTTGTAGATATGCGCGGTGTTGGGGTTTTCACCCTACTCATCGTCACTTTTTGGCAATTGTTTCCAGTAGAAGGTAACGTACAATACAGTTATACATATTAGTCGATGTAGCTACATCTATATCACGAACTGCACAAGTCTATTGCACGTCACTGCACACAGTGTGCAATATTTTTTCTACAGAATAAAAATCGTGCCCGCAGTTTTCATTTTATTTCATCATTTTCTGTGATCACAGTTGGCATTTTTTAACGACAGATCGCAAGGGATGCTTTCCACTTTCGCGTTTTTTACACGCACGTAAAGCCTAAAACGTTCGTATATATAGTTTATTATAATGCCAACATATATAATTTAAATTATTTTAAACTTTTACGTGCGTATACGTACGTACAAAAAACGCGACAGCGGAAACATAATTATTCCAATTACGTTTTAACACTGAGTTAAATAATAATCCTGCATGATATTCAAAACATGCAAAACATTTAGGGGCTGATTACATGAAGTGTTTTCAGCGCAGACCGAGTTTCAGCCCGGGGTTGTTATAAAATCCTAACAAAATTGCGCACGCGATTACATGACAAGAATTTAAGCTCGGGCTGAAACTTAGGGTTGTTGTCATGTAATCGTAAATAAACTTAAACCCAGACAGAAAAATTCGCCTTGACAATGCTTTTTCGTTTATTTTTTTCATTTTTATGTGCAGTCCCTTAAAGGTCAAGTTATTGTCATTCGGGATTTTAAAGCGCTTGAAGAATCGAAATAGGTCTAATTCCAGCCTTTACAAACTCAGCCCGGGCTGACACCATGTAATCAACCCCTTAGAACTTGAAGTTGACAAATTTAAATTTTTAACTGTGAACGCAGAAACGTTTATATAGCGTTAACCGGGCTTCAAATGTCCAAAGATGAATGAAAAAAATACAAACTTTCACGCTCAGCTTCGCTTCAGCAAATAACTTTGACCTCGGTCTGAATAATTCTTGATATCATGCTCAGCCTTATCCAGTAATTGCTGGCAGTGATATTATAATGCCTGCTCTTATTTGATTAAAGCTTCAATTACCCAATCAATAAAAACGCACTTCTATTTCACGCAAAACAACTGTTTAAACCTTGGGCGTATGATAAAGCATTGTTGCTGTAGTTATTATAATCGGCGGCAAAGTTTGCCTACAGGTTAAAAGATGCTTTGCCTACAAGGAATTGCTTTTCTGTTTGCTAAACTTACACGTTACCGAGACTGATATATTCTGCTGTTTGCCAAGTTATATACGTCGCATTTTGGTGGCGTCGAATGTAATTCAAATGCTAGATAATGAAATGATAAACCTCTACTTTTCCAATTTGCACCACTTTTCTTTCAAATCATGCATAAAATTAACTTTTCATAGGAAACAATGGAGCTGAAATTGAATACATCTTCTATTCAAACGCCACTCACATTTCCTATGTTTCTATTGATGGTGGAGAATCTAAAGCCTTGGTGAAGACACCAAGCGCTACCCTTGCTTACGACGAACTGAACTACCGTCTTTGGTATTATAAGGACGGTGAGAAACTGTATAACTCAAATTTGGATGGGAGTGATTTGAAAAATGTTTCGGTTCCATCAAATTTCGGTCCCTTTGCTGTTGATGCAGCGAATCAAACTGTCTATTATCTCACCAAGTCTGATTTTAACCTTAAATTGATTGACTATGATGGGAACGACCTACCAGATATTGGTGTATCACCAGACAATGATTTTAGGGATTTGCAAATCGACCCCCATAACAGGTAAATTAAATTTTAATTTCAATTTGATATATCTATTTATTCAGTAGTAATGGTTAAAGTAATAGTTACTTGAGTAATGGTTAAAAATTGAACCTTTAAAATTGGAAAACGTTGACATAATATGTTGACGTTCTCAACATAAAAACTCGTAAACAATCAGGATGTTTATTCATTCATTTATTTATTTATTTATTTATTTATTCATTCATTTATTTATTATGCTTTGCCAGATACACACAAACTTATACAATACAATAATAAGCACAAATGATAGACAATTACATGTCAGGGTATACGCTACAGCTTACGCCAATTACAGCAGCCCTTGACAATAATACAACACAGAAGACAAAACGAAGACACAATCATTTACAGGACATTAAGCAAGACGAAGTCGAACGGAAGAGTTTACGAGACACGCTACAAGACAAACATATAGACTTCCACGTTCTAGCATCTTCGGCATTATAAATATTCATTGCCAATTTGCAATGTATATATATATATATATATATATATAAAGTTTGTTCTTGAAACTACGAAATATCAGCTCCTTTGGTAGTATATTCCATACTCTCGCACATCTGGATAAGAACGATTTCTGAAATGTCGCAGTCTTGCACTTTGTGGTGACCAACAGTAAACAGTTGGTGTCAGCTGATCTTGTTGTTCTTTCATGGTTTTAAGTTTGTGGCACAACCTTTTTGAGAATCTTTAACATCCCATGTAGTTTCGAGCGAACAAAAGCCAAATATATAGGTAATGTTTATATTATTAACTCTTCTAATGTAGCAACATTTTTGTTGCTTGAGCACATTGTACCTCAATATGTTCAGACCATGTCAGATTGGATGTGGTCGATCCACACGTTCGTGATCAGTTCTTTCAGGACAGAATTATGCAGATTGTAAGGGAAATCTATTTTGGCGAGCTTTCTTGTAATTCGTAAGACTTAACATTTCTCAGCGCTCAGTTCAAGGTTCACATTGCTAGAACTTTCTTGGAAGTTTGTCAGATCTTAGCGACGACGCGTCAGCAACAGAGTTTATAGGTTTGTAAAGTTTTGTATCGTCCGCAAAGGCTGCAATGTTTGAGGTGCTCACGGTTTCATATAGGTGATTATCATACATAAGAAACAGCAAGGGACCAAGAATAGAGCCTTGGGGCACACCAGTTTTTTACCGCAAGTGGTCGTGATGTTGCACCAGCAAGTTACCAGATGTTGGTAACCTTTCCTTAGATATAACGAAAATATAGCTGATGCATTAGCTTAGTGTTCCTAACTTTATCGAATGCCCTCGACATGTCAAAATAGTAAACATAGTTAAAATAGTCAAAATAGTTAACAAGTATCAATTTACGGGAGCCGGAAATTTTCTGATTAACCGCCATGATGGCGTTTATTATTACCCGTCTTTTTTCTTTCGTGCATGCGCATAAATAACATAACAATCCAACTACCATGCATGAGATGGTGTTTTAATAGAGAAAAAGTTTTATCTCGATCAATAAACGTAAAAATAAGCCATAACACGATAACAAGCCTCAGCGGCGAAGATCGCGAGCCTCGTTCTCGCTTTATAGATTATTTCCGTATTATTTTTCAAAATCCGTATTATTTTTCAAAATTAAAAATTCTTTTTAAAGCATGCGTTGAAGAAGGATGTTTTACACATAGCTTTTGAGAGTAAAACTGAAAACCATTAAGGTGTTTCTAAATTCCATACGATAATTACCGGTTTATTGTTCTCAATAGCAGTCTGCATGCTAAACAATCGAATTCAAACACTCAGCAATTGAAGAGGTCGGAATTAATAGATCAGGGCACAAATTTTCGTCCCCCTCCCTAGTTAAGCGTCTATCGTCTCAGTGACTGCAAAATCGTGCTGCCAGAGTTATAACGGGGTCTACTTTTGATATTCGATTTGTTGACGGCCGATCGAATATGTTACGCTGGGAATCTTTAGATAAGAAACACAACTATACTAAAACTATTTACATGTATAAAATAATCCATTAGTCTTTGTATCTGCCTGTTTAGTTTCTGCATGCTTTATATAATTTTTATGTAACCATGATCTATCTTTTACATAACTATATAATAAACGCATCAATATCAAATAATTTGATATCGAATTTTTTTCAACCTAGATCAATTTTTTTCACCACTGATCTTACGAACAGTCGAAATCTCATCCGGTACAGTCTTGTTGATGGAACTCATCCAACTCTTCACTCTGGTGTTTCTGGAATAGGCACTCACCTTGCGCTTGATAGCGTGAATAAAACCGTATATTGGATTTTATTTACTTCTGAGACAGTTTACAAGATATTAAAAACAACGTACGATGGTCAGACTTCACAGATAGGAACAGATCAATCAGGAAGTATTACAACCGTAGACATTGCAGATGGAAATGGATATTATTATATCCTCGATACAACAAAATCGAAAATTGATAAATATAATAAATCGACATATACAGTGCCTACAGAGATTTCACTTTCAACCGAAGCCACAAGAATGATTGTTGTATCAGGTAAGTTCCCGCAGAAATACACTTTATTTTCTTTTAATTTCTTTTTCGACTAATTTTGATAGAATGATAGTATATGATTTTTGCACGCTTAAGTATTTTGTCTTTTTAAAACGGGTTTCGCTGACCTCCAGCTCTCGTTGTTTCGGAACTTAGCTATATAGAGGCTATTTACTCGATCCAATGTAAAACTCTATAATTTTTCGTATATACGTGCATATATACGTGTTTGAAAAGGGCGGTTGCGTGACGAGTAGGTATATCTAGAGGAATAAAATTATAATATTTCAGGTAATTTCCAAATTTTCAGCAAATTATGTTTGCAAAACGAAGCCTGAGATGATTTTTATACTCTAAAATAAGATGTGATCATGTAATCATGGGATATGCGCTTGTTTGGTTTCATAAACGGACTTATTTTAATAAACTCAAAATTATCTTTCGTTTCGCCCAATCTCGGGTAACTGGGCTCATGTAAACAGTAGCTACCTGACTTGTTTTCTTCTTTTAGATAAGGACCATTGTGCTTTAAATAACACCTGTCCTGCAAACTCGACATGTACTAACTCTCCTGGCACCATTGTATGTTCATGTGACACTGGATTCACTGGAAATCAAACACATTGCCAAGGTATACGGAAAGTGGAAGTTGGAATGCACCAGACAATACCGATTAAAATGGATATTTAATCTAGCCTATATTTAGAAGAATTCTATATATGAGTGTCCATTAGACGACAAGTCTTAACTTTTTGACATTTCCAAAATTGCAGCAAGGATTAGAACTGCATGATCACTGTGACTTACCTTACCATGATTTTAAATAATTTATAATAGAGGTATTATTGAAATAAGTACAGGCATGAACACACAGCTCTTGTTGTTTTCGGTAACAAAAATGAGTCAGTCGCACCCTCACGCATGATTGTTAACACCTTACAATAATCGCCTAAAGTTTTACTAGTTTATGCAACTTGTTGACACTCAAGTCCATGAGCAGCACAACATTTTCAGCCGTGTTTTGATTAATCAAAAACATATTGGTTGTTTTTAGAGTTGACCAAAAGTAATTTCGTTATTTCTTATAAATTATCGCATTTTTGTCCAAACTTCCTAGATATCGATGAGTGTTTAAATAGCCCATGTGGATTCAATACAAACTGCACAAACACCTTTGGTTCTTACATGTGTAAATGTCAAACAGGATATGAGGGAAATGGAACAAATTGTACAGGTACAGTACCAGTTTCTGTGGAGATTCACCATTTCACCATTCACCTTTTTAAGATTATGTGACACTTCACTCCGTGTAGAATAAAGGTAATTAAAGGTCTTAACTTCAATGAGGAAATAAATCACCACAGCTAGAAAGAGCATAACCAAATTTTTATAACACTTTTTTTACAAAAAAGCATGCAAAATTGCCAATTTCGCATGGCTATATTTTTCTTACTTTACAATATCTTGCAGCTAAACTTGGTAATTTTACTAAATTTAGTACGCACTTTTCAGAAATTTCCTTTTTGTTGCCTAAATCAAAAGTTGGTCTATTATGCAATTAATAAACCGAAACCGTTAATAAACCGAAATGATCAGCCAAATATCATTCAAAAACTCGCAAACAAGATAAATAATTAGGATTATTTAAATAAAATTTCGCCTACGTATTGCGGAACTTGTGGTTAGAGCATTTTCATTGAGTGAGGTGATCAAGACATCCACATCTAAAAGCTGTTCCTGAATGAAAACAAACTACTTTTCAAGTCGTCCGAACACTAGCGTTATCTTAAGATGCATGATTAATCAAAATCTAACGGACTTGCTTGGCAATTTTGATGACATCAATTTCTGTATAACAGGTTATATTATATGGCTTTTCTAAATCCTCTATTTTGATTGGTTGATGAGCGGTGCGTAAAAACCCATATCCGGACCGTGGTCCGTATATTCCGTATTTGGACCAATATCCCGGATGTCTCATGCAGTTCAGCCATATAATAAACAGATTATTGCCCTCGCTTGTTCGATCTGTACTATGGAATATCAGACCGAGGCTAATCACACCTCACGCTCGGTCAATAATCAGTTAATATCCAGATAAATTCGTATAATTCCAGGACTGGATTATCTGACATCGTTTGATTAATGGAGTGTAGGCTGAAAATAGATTTAGTAGAGTAATATTAAAAGTAAGCGATTAATAATTTCGTCCTTTTTTTCTATATAAAGATATTGATGAATGTTTGTCTAACCCATGTGGTTTCAACGCAAACTGTACAAACACTGGTGGTTCGTACCTTTGTGAATGTAAAACCGGGTATGAAGGAAATGGAACAAATTGTACAGGTATAAGATCTGGTTATCAATCGATATTTTCCATTTATAGGCATTTTCAGTCATGCGGTTCATTGCCACTTTTTTTTCTTTAAAAAGCTTATGAGCAAGTTGTATTCTTATTTAATAGTTATTCACATGATTCCTGAACACCCATATTTCTAAACCAAGCCGAAAATCTTAAAAAACAAGAAAAATGGGATTCTTATTAAACTGAGTCGTATGAAAACAGAAACGAATTTGCAATTATTTTCGCATTAGATCAAACGCTTAGATACGAAGTCGTGACAACCTGCTGGCTGCTAAGTGGCATTCGCTATCACAAATTATGTTCTATAATATAGTTTCATGGCCTTCCAAAACTAGCCTGCACGGGCGTTGACACGTCTAACGGGGAAAGGCGATTCTCCATTACCGCCCGCTTCATCCGGGCAGGCAAGGCGGCTTTTGAAAGTCTGCCCATGCGACCGTCACCGGCCTTTGAAACAAATCGCGCGTACGTAACAAAGCCCTCGCGGGTGTAGAGGACGTAATGGAGAATCGGATTTATACAGGGTGTCTCAAAAAAAACGCAACCACTTAAATATGCAAAAATATTAATATTGTTCGGGTTTGCACCATAGTTCGGCTAAAATTACTTTTAGCATTTTAAATGAAGGATTAAGAGTGCTTATCCATTTCGCTTTAGAGCTGTATTGATGTTCTTGCATATTTAAGTGGTTGCGTTTTTTTTTAGACACCCTGTATAATACGTCTCCATATTAGCGCAACGTTAGCTAATAATTGCGATTTTTTAAATCCGATTCCGATTACATTTGACGCCAGCTAATGAGAACGCACTGCCCAAGCGCACTTGCGCACGTTTATATGCGCCCAGGGTATCTTAAAGCAACTTGTATTTTTACAGATATTAATGAATGTCTGACAAATCCTTGCGATGTTAATGCAAATTGCACCAATAGCGATGGTTCGTATGACTGCACTTGTCATGTGGGATACGAAGGCAATGGCACAATTTGTTCAGGTAAATTATTTTAAAACTTGATAAAAACCAATGCTGGCAAATGTTATATAGAACAGGGCAGTCTTTAGAAAAATCTCAAAGAGAGGTTGTGGTGACCTTCCTACCTTGTGATGCGTTTTTAAATAATCTCTCGAGCTTCTCTCTCCTGTCAGCAAATTCCTCGTACCGTTTTAAAAATTTAGGGTTTCACCGTATATATACGCATCTCAAATTATCTCTGAACAAAACTTAAAGTGGCAACAGAAATACTTTTTTAAATATAATTTCAATATTATTAGTCTTTTTTTACAGAAGTGCCGGAACATAAGAGTTAAGTACAATAAAGGGATCAAATCTCTCGTGTGTCCTGAAGCAGGACGTCCGTTGATTATTTTAATATGTGTTTGTATGAACAGAAGTAAAAAAAATGCATTATTGCCGTATTAATACAGTTAAGTGTTATTTTTAGTAAAATACGCCAATGATGCATAGCTATATATGCCTGAAAAGTTGACAAAATTTATCTTAATGCATCCCCACGCATGCATGTTAAGGCAGGCGCACACTAGAGCTATGTGCTTAACAAAAAGTTATTCGTGGCCACTGGCGTAATCCAGTTGCTCTCGTGCGCGCGCGACTATACCGGTAGCCTGCAACGCAGACATATATTGGGATATACCCCAATATATAGTCTGCGTTGCAGGCTACTATACCGGCGACTTTGGTCATTCGGCAAATATCTACAGACACTGATGTTTGATAATTTTTCAGATGTCAATGAATGTGAAATGGATCCATGTGGTTTTAATTCCAACTGCACAAACACCAACGGGTCGTTTATTTGTGAATGCCAAACTGGATTTGAAGGAAATGGAACAAATTGTACCGGTAAGACTTTACTCACAAGATATATTTTAAAAGGTTTTGATGTACGGGTAAGGTTATATTGCCATGTTTTTACCACTTTCCGTTTTAAAGTAAAGCAAGACAATGCACTTCTTAACGTTTCGACGAAAAGACAGCAGCATATTTGCTACTTGATGCAGAGCTATTTACATATGCAGGATAAGCAAAGAATTATCTCATCACAATGAATATATACAATATGTATAATTACAAGATATCGCCAAAACTGGATGAATTAAAGAAATCAATTAATTTTTTTCAGACATAGATGAATGTCAGTCATCCCCTTGTGGTTACAATGCAAATTGCACCAACATTGATGGTTCTTATGACTGTGAGTGCCAGACTGGTTATACAGGAAATGGAACAAACTGTACAGGTATATAATTATAAGCTAGGTGCATCGCCTTTTGTACAATTTTGTAGTCAACATTTCATGCACAATATGGAAAGAACTTTCTTGTGCGATAATATTGTGTTGACAAAAGTAGGTAACCCCCCCCATATAGCGAGGAAATCACGCACCGCGTGGACCCCACGCGGGACGTCGGAAACTATCGGATTTTCCCGAAGATATGCGTGGTCTCCACGCAGGATGAGAGTGCGAAGTTTTTAAGCGTAATTAAGTACACAGAAAAGATTGGCGAGGGAAATATTTTATTTGTCAGGTTACACATTTCGTATATTAACATTTTAATGGTATTTTCATAACATTAGGACTGTTTATTTTAAAAGTTCGTTTTCTATGTATGCTTTGCGATGCTTCCCCTCTCAGTTCATACTTTAATTTTTATCAGTTGTTCGTAACATGTGTCAATATGCCCATAACGAATGCACGAGCGCCATATTATTTCCATACACCAATTGTCATGTTATCGACAAGGGCATCCAAGATTTCATAACGTTTGTCAATATATCGATGACGAACGCAAGCGTGCCAAATCATTCGAATAAACCGTTTGTTTGTAAATGTTTGACTTTCATTCCAGATAGGTATCCATCTTTCTTTTGCCTTTTCCGTCAGTTCATTTAGAATTTTATTTTCAAGACTGGAAAAACACATGTCGATACGTTGTATAAGTTCGTCCTTCCATAAAAATCTGATGTTGGCTGTCATAATGTCGAATGATAAGTAATATGCTGTAGCGTTTTCACAGTAAATGAAGCATCTTCGGTTACAAGATCCGCCTATTGTTAACGAAACTCAAACCTAATAGCCCTTTTAATGTTGGCGATACTGGATAGTAATGAATTGATCAGACAATAGAGGGATTAATGTGAATATAATTAATTACGCTAAAAGCATTGCATTGAAACGTTTCCCCTGGTTAGTTTGCTAACAAATATTATACACTAAAGGATTCGGGGTAAAAATTTTTTACTCAATTTACTAACCCTATTAGTGAGGTGGCTATTTTAATATTAGCGACACTGGGATAATAATGAATTGATCAGATACAGAGGGATTAATGTGAATATAATTAATTACGCCAGAAGCGTTGCATTGAAACGTATCCCCTGGTTAGTTTACTCATAAATATTACACGCTAAAAGATGATTCAGGGGAAATAAGTTTACTCAATTTTCAAACTATTTGCCGTAATGCATAATTTGACTGAAGTGACTCTTTCACAGTGACATTGTGAAAACAAACGAAAGTACGTGTGAGGAATAGTAACGATTTAGTTCATTGATGATGAGAATAATGTGTGTATGATTAATATGAATTATTAATATCATAGAGATTTCGTTTACGTTCTTTCGAAAATTTGGGGGTTCTTAAAAAAGAACCGGTTTTTTTCTTTTTCTTCTTCTTTTCCTTGCTTTAAATCTTCTCCAGCTACATCGAGAAGGCCTCAACTTCGACTTTGGCACAGTCTTGGTACGCCCAGGCATCCAAGAGTCTGCCACAGGTCTCTAACCAGCCCAGCTGATCAAACAGTTTTTCTGCTTTGGGGCAGCCAAAGCATTCCAAATTAACTGAAGGGATGCTTAGTTTTTTAGAAAATCCCTTTCAATAATTCCGCCTTGTAGGCAATCGTACAGTTTGCGTTCTTTTTATTTTCCTGTAGAAATTATCCACGATTGCCTCCAACTGCGAAATATGGAATGCTTTGACGCCCTGCGGCACCCCAAACGGTAGTTTGTGGATTTTCTTCTGTACGAATTTGCACGCCTTTTGGTCTTTTTCACTTAAATCCGACCAACGAAGCCCAATGTTAAAAAAAGAAGGATTGCCCGTAGGTATCCCCGACTTTGATGATACGGAGCTCCTTGCAGCGGAATTCAATTCCTACTCGAAATCCGTCCATATCCACGACAGCTGCGATGTCATCTTTGCAAGCCATTGCGAACGATGAGCGTGATTTGTGAGCTGACTCAAATATAAAGCGAATTAATTTCGAAAGTGGCGTGCCGTTCATATATCGTAATATCTCGTTAATCTCGTTCATATCTAGTTAATATCTCGTAAACTTTTCATGAAGTTTTTGCGATCGTCGCTGCACAAACCCTCTCCAATGCCTCGTCAAAGTACATACATATGCGGCCGGAAAGAAGAAAATTTCAGATATGGATTAACGATTTTAACATTTATTTGTCTTGCAATTAGTTACAGCAATAAATAATAATTTCTTCTAAAACGTTTTTTTACCATTGGACTAAATTTAAAGTCTAATTATCATCATCGTCATAATCTTCACTGTCTTTATTTTCCTCGTCATCATCAATCTCGTGGTCGCTTAAAAGTCTTTTAACAAGAAACCTTCTCTTATCAACTGCAGCTTCTATTGCTTCTTCTGGCTCAAAATCATCATTTTGAATAAACGCATCTTTTGTGTTCATTATTTTCTTATGTACTGGATTTTCTTTAGTTGTCTTATCCACAAAAGGCGCTCTAAGTAGATATTTTCTAATTCTTTCTGGAGTCTAGGCATAATATTCAAGTAAGCTTTCTCTTTAGCAGAGTGCTCATCGAAACCTCTGTTTATGAGGCGTTCTTTCATTTCCTCGAAAGCTGTGTTACTTCTTTGTTTTGCTTCTTCTATTAGTGGTATCCAGGGATCCATTTCCTCTCCAGATTCTGAGTCAGTCGCCGTCGAACTTCCAGACTGCTGAGTAGAAGTTGTTGAGACATCGTCACGGAAATCTCTTTCTTGACTGTCCGAGTCTGTTTGAGACATGTTTTTTTCTTGTTCTCGTAATGGACAGTATTCCTGTTCGTGTCTACGCTGATTGTAACCGCGATTAAAGTATCTTCCGCAAAATTGGCAGCTCATTCCCTTAGCACTGGAGGCGTGAAAATGCCTTGTTATCGAGCAGTAATGCAGTTTTATGAGCAAATGAGCATGTGCTCATGAGCAGTTATGAGCATGTGCTCATCTGCTCATCGCATAAAATGGCACCCGGTTCATTGAAATTTTTCAGGCCCAATATAATATAATTTATATTGTTCAATTTAAAAAAATAATGTCGGTTGCAATTTTATGCGATGAGCAGATGAGCATCTGCTAATGAGCAGTTATGAGCATGTGCTCATCTGCTCATCGCATAAAATTTGTAATCAACGCGTTGCTTGGACCATAAATTAAGATAAGGATTAACGCTTGTAACAATATAACTAAGTAGAACAATTTTACAAATATCTTAAACATTTGTCTGGGCAGGTTTTTTCCATTTCAAATTAGAGGTGGAATATCGGTTACAAATTTTATGCGATGAGCAGATGAGCACATGCTCATAACTGCTCATTAGCAGATGCTCATCTGCTCATCGCATAGAAATTGCAACCGACATTATTTTTTTTAAATTGAACAATATAAATTATATTATATTGGGCCTGAAAAATTTCAATGAACCGGGTGCCATTTTATGCGATGAGCAGATGAGCACATGCTCATAACTGCTCATGAGCACATGCTCATTTGCTCATAAAACTGCATTACTGCTCGATAACAAGGCATTTTCACGCCTCAGTGCTAAGGGAATGAGCTGCCAATTTTGCGAAGATACTTTAATCGCGGTTACAATCAGCGTAGACACGAACAGGAATACTGTCCATTACGAGAACAAGAAAAAAACATGTCTCAAACAGACTCGGACAGTCAAGAAAGAGATTTCCGTGACGATGTCTCAACAACTTCTACTCAGCAGTCTGGAAGTTCGACGGCGACTGACTCAGAATCTGGAGAGGAAATGGATCCCTGGATACCACTAATAGAAGAAGCAAAACAAAGAAGTAACACAGCTTTCGAGGAAATGAAAGAACGCCTCATAAACAGAGGTTTCGATGAGCACTCTGCTAAAGAGAAAGCTTACTTGAATATTATGCCTAGACTCCAGAAAGAATTAGAAAATATCTACTTAGAGCGCCTTTTGTGGATAAGACAACTAAAGAAAGATCCAGTACATAAGAAAATAATGAACACAAAAGATGCGTTTATTCAAAATGATGATTTTGAGCCAGAAGAAGCAATAGAAGCTGCAGTTGATAAGAGAAGTTTCTTGTTAAAAGACTTTTAAGCGACCACGAGATTGATGATGACGAGGAAAATAAAGACAGTGAAGATTATGACGATGATGATAATTAGACTTTAAATTTAGTCCAATGGTAAAAAAACGTTTTAGAAGAAATTATTATTTATTGCTGTAACTTAATTGCAAGACAAATAAATGTTAAAATCGTTAATCCATATCTGAAATTTTCTTCTTTCCGGCCGCATATGTATGTACTTTGACGAGGCATTGGAGAGGGTTTGTGCAGCGACGATCGCAAAAACTTCATGAAAAGTTTACGAGATATTAACTAGATATGAACGAGATTAACGAGATATTACGATATATGAACGGCACGCCCACTTTCGAAATTAATTCGCTTTATATTTGAGTCAGCTCACAAATCACGCTCATCGTTCGCAATGGCTTGCAAAGATGACATCGCAGCTGTCGTGGATATGGACGGATTTCGAGTAGGAATTGAATTCCGCTGCAAGGAGCTCCGTATCATCAAAGTCGGGGATACCTACGGGCAATCCTTCTTTTTTAACATTGGGCTTCGTTGGTCGGATTTAAGTGAAAAAGACCAAAAGGCGTGCAAATTCGTACAGAAGAAAATCCACAAACTACCGTTTGGGGTGCCGCAGGGCGTCAAAGCATTCCATATTTCGCAGTTGGAGGCAATCGTGGATAATTTCTACAGGAAAAAAAAAGAACGCAAACTGTACGATTGCCTACAAAGGCGGAATTATTGAAAGGGATTTTCTAAAAAACTAAGCATCCCTTCAGTTAATTTGGAATGCTTTGGCTGCCCCAAAGCAGAAAAACTGTTTGATCAGCTGGGCTGGTTAGAGACCTGTGGCAGACACTTGGATGCCTGGGCGTACCAAGACTGTGCCAAAGTCGAAGTTGAGGCCTTCTCGATGTAGCTGGAGAAGATTTAAAGCAAGGAAAAGAAGAAGAAAAAGAAAAAAACCGGTTCTTTTTTAAGAACCCCCAAATTTTCGAAAGAACGTAAACGAAATCTCTATGATATTAATAATTTCATATTAATCATACACACATTATTCTCATCATCAATGAACTAAATCGTTACTATTCCTCACACGTACTTTCGTTTGTTTTCACAATGTCACTGTGAAAGAGTCACTTCAGTCAAATTATGCATTACGGCAAATAGTTTGAAAATTGAGTAAACTTATTTCCCCTGAATCATCTTTTAGCGTGTAATATTTATGAGTAAACTAACCAGGGGATACGTTTCAATGCAACGCTTCTGGCGTAATTAATTATATTCACATTAATCCCTCTGTATCTGATCAATTCATTATTATCCCAGTGTCGCTAATATTAAAATAGCCACCTCACTAATAGGGTTAGTAAATTGAGTAAAAAATTTTTACCCCGAATCCTTTAGTGTATAATATTTGTTAGCAAACTAACCAGGGGAAACGTTTCAATGCAATGCTTTTAGCGTAATTAATTATATTCACATTAATCCCTCTATTGTCTGATCAATTCATTACTATCCAGTATCGCCAACATTAAAAGGGCTATTAGGTTTGAGTTTCGTTAACAATAGGCGGATCTTGTAACCGAAGATGCTTCATTTACTGTGAAAACGCTACAGCATATTACTTATCATTCGACATTATGACAGCCAACATCAGATTTTTATGGAAGGACGAACTTATACAACGTATCGACATGTGTTTTTCCAGTCTTGAAAATAAAATTCTAAATGAACTGACGGAAAAGGCAAAAGAAAGATGGATACCTATCTGGAATGAAAGTCAAACATTTACAAACAAACGGTTTATTCGAATGATTTGGCACGCTTGCGTTCGTCATCGATATATTGACAAACGTTATGAAATCTTGGATGCCCTTGTCGATAACATGACAATTGGTGTATGGAAATAATATGGCGCTCGTGCATTCGTTATGGGCATATTGACACATGTTACGAACAACTGATAAAAATTAAAGTATGAACTGAGAGGGGAAGCATCGCAAAGCATACATAGAAAACGAACTTTTAAAATAAACAGTCCTAATGTTATGAAAATACCATTAAAATGTTAATATACGAAATGTGTAACCTGACAAATAAAATATTTCCCTCGCCAATCTTTTCTGTGTACTTAATTACGCTTAAAAACTTCGCACTCTCATCCTGCGTGGAGACCACGCATATCTTCGGGAAAATCCGATAGTTTCCGACGTCCCGCGTGGGGTCCACGCGGTGCGTGATTTCCTCGCTATATGGGGGGGGTTACCTACTGACAAAGATATATTTATATGATTAATTTTTAAAAAAAGGTTTTTTGCACTAAAATCATTCAGTATCTCCCTACAGATATTAATGAATGTCAAACAAATCCTTGCGATGGAAATGCAAATTGTACTAATAAAGATGGCTCGTATGTGTGTACCTGCCACGAAGGCTATTCTGGAAACGGCGCTAGCTGTACAGGTAAACCTTGGGATATATGAGAGTGTATCAGTACAATATACTTTAAGATTTTACCAAAACTTGGTTGTTTCATTATAAATCCGGAATTGCATTGTACGAAATGTTGCCTCAGTTTTTCTAAGTGTTATGAAGAGTGTGCTATGCATATACCATGCTAGCATTCCTATAACACTTTCTTGGTGTGAAAAAAATTCTTTACCTGAACAAACTTAATGTACGTTTACATTAAAATGATGTAACTTTACCTAATTCTTTAGGTAATATTATACTTTACGATAGGGTTAATGTACACCTACATAGTGCTATTCCTTAAAATTTCGTATAACATTTCACCTATGAAATAGGAGTTTCATGTATGAAATAAACATGTTCATATATGAAATTAAACACTTCATACATGAAATTTGATTTTCACATAAGAAATGCTACTTTCAAATAATATGAAATTTATTTTTTTAACATGAGTTTTCGTATGTAAAAAACAATTCACAAATGAAATTTTTGGCTTCAACAAATGAAATAATTTAAACTGTGTATGACGTTCATTTAAACATGTGAAAAGTAAATTGTATATAAATGATTTTGGTTTCACATTAATCACCAAATGTAAAATTTTGGTTTCCCATTAATCAGATATGAAATTTTGGTTTCATGTGTGAATTTTAGTTTCACATACGAAATTTTTGGTTTCACATATGAAATTATCTAAATATCGATATCATGCATATGAAATTTTACGTTCACATGTGAAAAATAAATATCATATAATATGAATTGCTACTTTCACATATGAATTTCAATTTTTTTATATGAAGTTTTCCTATATGTAACACGATTCATATACATGAAATCTTGCATCTTTGCGTCTTGCATCGATCTGGCTTCTTTGATAAAATGATTTAAATCGTCACCATTCATGTCATTAAATTTCTCCTGTACATGTGAAAAAAAATTCATATAGGAAATGCTAGCTCCACATGTGAAATTTGTTTCACATATGAGTAATTTTAATCTGATACATATGAGATTTCTTTCACATGCGAGATTGTAAAAAGTTCATAATTTATCAGTTCAAATTTTCATAACATTGCGTTTTTTTTTCGTGTTACCCATCTTTTATTGTATAAGGAATTTTGGTTACCTATGAAATTACTTTCGAGTGCAAAGCTGTTTATGAAATGCCTTGGTCGCTACAGGAATGTTATCAAAAGCGGAAAACACGCGTTATATTTAAAACTAGGAAAATTACAAGTACGGCAGTTGTATCTCAATACACGTAATGCGTCAAAATTGGACGGCCAGTCCCGATTGCTACCCGGAGAGTGCTAGATCGGTATGCTCATATTACATCACGTCTCGAACTTTTTGCTGGCTATGGTGGTAAATGCCAATGGTAATTGGTAAATATGGTTTGGGAAACTTGTTTTCGCATCAAAAATTTAATATATATCCGTGTGGAGTATTCGAAATATAGATGTAAATCTGTGGATTAAGAAGCATTCTTTGCTGATGATTTGTTCATGTGGTCTAGTAAAGAATGGTTTTAATTAAAGAAGTTAGTCAGGTATTTAATATTGTTTGTGTTGATCACTTGATCTTTATATATATATTCGCTTTTATAACTCGTCGCCCAAAATCACGGTAATCACAGATGAATCACGGGGAATTTGTTCAATTTATATTGATTACTCTTAATTCTTTTTCATATAACAGTAATATGAAAATACGAGGGAATTTATATTGTTGCTTATGTTATTTTTTACACATGAAAGTATTGATGGGAAAGCCATTTCATGTCTGAGTCTCACTCAGACTGACTTAAAATCATTACATACAGTCATCAATCTCCAGGATTAAGATTTTTAAAATTTTGCGGTTTTCAATTAGCTGAAATTTAAGATTTGTTCCAGAGTACTGTTTTTGAGAAAAGTAGTAATGCAATTATTTTTTCTGCAATTAGTTGATGCCTACACCACCTGCTTTGGTGGACAGAGCAAAAAAAATAATAAAAATGGACAAATATACTGTTGGTGGCCATTGATTTAGAAACGCACCAGGAATCATCTTTGTCTGGCAAGGAAAATAAAGACAAACAACTTGATCACTATTGTGAAGTACGCACCACATTCAACACAACATTCAACACAATAATCAACAAGATGTTCAAGTTCACCATATGACTCATTTCTATCATTCAAACATTCTAAATTCAAATATTGTTTAAAACCCTGTCCAAACATTTATTAAAAGGTTAATGCACTAAATTTGTCAATTGGAGAATAAACTTTATACCTTGTAACAAAAGAGATGAAATCAACTTAACATGTGCCCAAAAAAGAGATTTTGTACCAACATTTTTATCAATAAAAATGCAAAATGATAAAATGATAAAATTAGCAATAAAAATATTGGTGCAAAACCTCTTTTTTTGGCACATGTTGATTTTGTCTGTTCTGTTACAACCTATAAAGTTTTGACTCCAATTGATTTGTTTAGTGCATTAATTCTTTTAGTAAATGTTTGGAATGTGTTTAAACAATATTTGAATTTTGAACGTTTGAACGATGGAATTGAGTCATATGGTGATTTTGAATATGGTGTTGATTATCCTGTTCAATGTTGTATTGAATGTGGTGCTCACTTCACATTGGTAAGTTGATCTGGCTAAAGTTCAAATGATAATATGGTTAATATGTTTGACCTCCTGTAAATTTAATAGCTACTAGCATGACTTTCCCTTAGCCATAGAAGCTTTGTATACTATAGTGGTGATAAAGCTGGTAAATTAAGTTTTGTGTAGCTAGCAATATAGTCTTGTATGATGAAATTAGTTTATAATATGAAAGTGAGATAACATGAGTGCATTTGAATAAACTGATATATTTACTTTTTATTAGAATGTGTGAGGCAGAGCAGTGAAGATAGTGAAAAGGAATGCTATGTGCAAACAGATAAAGGATGAAATCATGAAAAATGGCATGTAAAGGAAAAATAAAATTAAACTTGATAAGTGTTGTTCTTGAAATGTTAGCTAAATTGTTTTTTTTCAATTTTATAAATAAATATATCTATGTATTTAAAATGGTTATCTTTTGTATTTAGATTTTTATGGTATAAGTTTTAATCCAATAAATTCAATCCATATATTGAAATTCACTCATGCAGTCATTTATTATCTTGTAACTATTTCATATGTGAAAAATTTCATATTTGAAATCATTTCATATATAAATATTCTTTGATAAAAATCATATAAATTATATGGAATGATTTCACATGTGAAATTTTCATATAGGAAGTGTTTCAATTCCACATGAGGTTTCATATATGAAATCCTTGTGTGAAATTTTCATAGGGGTAGATATGTTTACACTCGAACAGTGAAAATCTACACATAAGTTGTTGTATGATTACTCAACATACCTGAATCTAAATCAAATACCAAAGTATGTCAATATACCTGAATCTGGTGCACTTGATGCAAAGTAAACACTCGGATATAAACAGCGAAATCATTGTAAATTTACTTGCTAAAGGTGTATTTTTATCTAATCATGGTGTTGAAGATTGCAATGCTATAGCGTCAACTTACACCTAAATAATTGTACATGTGTACGAATTACGAAATGCGGTCAGTCATGTTAATGTACTCGATGTAATATAATAGAGTACCATTACACCTTTTACAGTATCACAGCCACTGATCTGAATTAAAATAGAAACAAGACGCCTGTTCTGGCGTTAACTCCGGCGCACGTGCCAGTCTTCAATATAGAGCTTCTGAACATAAACAATACAGTTCATATTCGCATTTAGATGCCTTGCGAACCTAAATGTTCGATCGCGAAATTCAGAAGCACATCGTACTTTAAAAAGTATAGAAGTTAAATCGTTCAAGAATGTAAATAAACGGTATGATACATTCGCTTTGTCTTACACTTTGCCTTTGGAATTCTCGCTTATATAGTTATATTAAATCTTCAATCCTGTGCAAACTACGACGAGTCAAAGCGCCCATACACGACCACATCATCTTGTTAAACGGCGAAATAGCAGCGATATTACTAAAATAGGACCAGAATCTACACGTATTAAATATATTCTTACCCCAATTCAGTCTAAACTTAATCGAAAAGCATGAAAAGAACGGTTTATTTGTTCCTCTTGGAGGAATTGCCGTATCATGCGAGCGAAATCGAATCGCGCATCGGAAAATTAGCCAAAGCTGTGCACCACAACTCTTGGGAGACAAGACTGGGACATAGATAGATCCAATCATATACACATTTTAAATACTAGAATGTTTCGCGCCATTACAGACTTGCGACGACGAAAAATAATAAAAAAAAAAACAAAAACAAAACAAAACCGAGGCGAATTTTCAACTCCGTCGCTGACGCCGGAGTAATCAGCGCGCAGTAAGCCCTGATAGAAATAAATTTTGTTCGGCACTGTATAATCATGACCGTATGTCAGTCGCATTTGATGCAAATCGTGTGGATTTGTACGTCTCGTACATGTTCAAGCGACGTTTCCCTATATAGCTAATTAGATAATATTTACATAATTTTTTTGTCATTTTCGTTATAACGATTTGTGATATAAGGTTACAATGCAAAAAGAGATCGCCTGTCAGTGTCAGTTTGTCATTGCTCGAAGCTTCATATTGTTGCAATATTTGGACACCCATGCAGAAATCTTAACGCGCGCCGCCTATTTTCCGAAGTGAACAGTTCTAACGGAAAATGGATCGTTCTTACCTAAAATGTGCAGTTCAAAAAGTGACGCTTTCGACAGAAAATGTCAAATTCTCAATTGTAAAATTTAAATGGTATCATTGGGCACTTTACAAACTCACAGGTTTTTCATCGGGATATCCCTACCCTAGAACTCCATTTACTGTGGAATTATATATTATGTAAAAATTATCAATAACGCTAAATTCGATATTCAGATAATGATATTATTAATGTTTTAATCACGAAAAAATTGGATTGGGGGAAGAACGGTGTATATCCATTCATATCAACCTAATTTAATTAACCTCATCATTTTAAATTTCGACAGACATCGATGAATGTGCGGAGGGAGATCCAAACGGTTCTTACACGTGCGAGTGTTTATTTGGGTTTGAAGGGAATGGAACAAATTGCACAGGCAAGTTCTAGGGTGGTCATTTTTTGAACATTTCTCATTTTCCAATTGCATCAAAGTTTTAGAACACATCACAAAGATTTATGTTACAGACCACTGTCTTTATAAACGTCCGCGACTGGCAACTCCTGCATTGTGTATGATAATTATACGATGTTAAAATGCTAAATCCGTTAACTAGCTACACAGTCATTTCTGTTTCAATCTTTTTTCTTCCTTCAAGTGGGAAATACTGGATTACTTAATTTATTTATTCAAGGGGATCATTTCGTAAATTTGTACAATTATATCGAATATAGATATCAACGAATGTGAACGGGATGCTCCGTGTCATACAAATGCAACTTGCACAAACGTGGATGGATCTTTCTACTGCGCTTGCAAAGCAAACTACAGTGGCGATGGCTTCTTTTGTGAAGGTAATCGCAAGGATTTAGCTGTCATAAGGGCCGGGTTCAGCTGTCATGTAATCTAGGGCGTGTTCTCGGAATGATGTAAAATGCATAATTTTATGAAAAAAATATTGGACGAGAATCTCGTCACGAGATTGAGCGTGATATTGAGAATTAATTATCAAGCCAAAAGTTAGGCTCCAGTGGCAGTTTTAGGATTAGGCAGAATAAATTAAAAAACTTAATTTTAAAGTCAAAATACTTTAATAACAACGCTATTGATCATGGATTTCTAAAGAATATTTTAAAATAATCTGCCAATGCGATTACAACTTTCGAGGTCTGGTAAATTATTCTGCCTAGCCCTGAATCCCGTTAACCAGGGGCGCTTTATACGGTAAAACTACTTTATTGAGTAGTTATTTTCTTATTTATTGATTTTAAATTGATTTTAAAAAACTATTATTTTATATTTAAGACTTAATAATTACAGAACGCCAGGAATTATTTGTAAAATTGACGCAATAATTACATATAGTCTTAATTACAAATACCGGGAGTTATAATATTTTGCAAATTTGACGTCATAATTATTTCTATGTGGCTAACCAATCAAAGCGGAGATTGTATATAAATTACAGTGAATAGTAATTATAGATATGGGTTATTAAAGTCTTTTTAACGTTTAACGGCGAGTGTTGTAGGTATTTTGAGAGTACGGTGAGAGTTTGCCTATGTATTCTCTATAATAATTATTTTTTGAAATTTGGGTAGTGTTGACGTGCAAAGTGGAAGCCATATACTATGCAACAACCGATGCTATCAAAGGCGTATTCTCTGACGGTAACACAACAGTGACCATATTATCCGCAACCGACGTGAAACTAAATTATGATTCTGGGACTAAAAGACTCCTCTACTACGATGGCACCAGTCTGATCACAGTTAAACTGGACGGAAGTAATGCAACCACGATAGCATCTCTCACGACCATCTCTCGGTTTACAGTAGATCATGTAACAAGAAAGGTCTACTACGTTACTGGACTATTCAAATCACTAAATGTTATTGACTTGAATACTGGAAATACAACGAAGCTTAATCCAACCAATATTGCTAATGTTGTCGACTTGGATAGTGATCCAGATAACAGGTGCGCAAATAATTAACACGTGAATGAATAAAATTAAATTATAATATATAATAAAACAAAATTTTGATCTACTCGCTCAAAAATTTGTTGCTCGTCACTTTGAGAGATGCAATGTCCCACGTTTGTTGTGACTCCTTTATGCAACATTCTAATTTTAATAAAGACTTATACATACATATACATACATTTATAGTCGGTGCTACGCGCCTTGTCGGCAATCAGCTAATAGATAAATTAACTAGAAATACATGCATGCATGCAGCAACCCCTCGCCTCAGTTAAACGAAATTAGTTAAGCATAGGGATGGTTACATGAAAGAAAATTTATGTGGGTTGAGGGTTTGGAGGGTCCGTGGTATGTGAGAAAATAAGTTTATTTGTAGTCATAGCGACTCGCAACCGCCCTATATTTTCAAAGAATAAAAGTTTACCGTCATATTTTTGTGAAAAAATGGCAAAAATACGACAATATGTTCGTATCTTTTTCTGCAAGTTAAGTTACTCATCTATAGTCAGTGGTTTGGTAAATTATTTTAATTATTAAATACCATGAAATATATGAAAACGGAATTTATAAATTATTATAAAAACGGAATTTATAAATGAAATTATAATGTCATCAGCTCATTTTTTTGATATGGTACGAAGGTCATATCATTCAACAGAGAAAAGCAATCTGCAGACATGAATGGTTCGGCGTTCAACGCCTCTTCAGTGCAGCTTGGTACATCTATATATACACATGCATGATAACGACTGTATTTACGTGTTTCAACAAGGAACCATCAAAATTTACAGCCAAAATTGTCGCAATGTTTCTGAAACTCATAGAGGAATCAACTCGGACGAATTCGATTTCCCAGGACCTAAAAATTGAGTTCCAGGTTTTAAATGCATGCGGCGAAGTTAAATGCGATTAAAATTTTAAAAGAATGATGAGCCCCAAATTAGTTTCGTATCAACTCTTTTAAACTACAGGGGCCGGTTGTATGAAAGCCGGATAGCACTATCCACCGAATAGTGGTTTTTTCAACCGTTCTAAAAATACTCAAAGAGCCATAAAATTTCAGCTTCGTAACCAACAATTATTAAAGATGATTCTCAATTAATTAAGGAATACTAAGATTTAATCAAAGTTATACCCAAAAACGGGCAATCTTAAAGCAATTGAAAAAATCACTATCTAGTGGATGGCGCTATCCAGTTTTCATACAACCGGCCCCAGATTGATAACTTGCACTATACACGCGTGCAAGGACTACTTTCAATGTAAAATGTGTGAAATGGTATAATTCGTCCAAATTATGGTATAAGGGTATAAATTGTATAATTCGTTAATCTGTGTATCTTTACGACCCCACATCACTGATGTCATCTTAAACTGCATGGACATACTCTAGCAAACATACCAAACCAATATGCAGAAAGAAAAAAAAATATCCAAGTCTGGCGATCAAGTTAAAAAAAATATATTGCACCAACCCCAAGATGGGTCAATGCCGTTTTAAATCACCAAATTCTTGCGTTCATGGCGACGCGCAGTGTTTTTTTTTCATTTTTTAGATGACTGGAAGTTTATCCGTGATTTTCTTTTATAGAGATAGGGCCCAGCTATATATAGTGTATTATAACCACTGTCCAGTATCAATATATTGTTCAGCGAATCGCTCTATAACTCGTGCGATAGGCTTATTATTTCATAACTAACTAACATACTTCAATAAAAAGAAAGAAATACTGTGATTATCATAATCACATGGCTAGGATTTGCATGCTTTTACCATAACTTTTAAATTTGGATTAATGTCTCTCCGTTTTAGTTCCCTTGTGTTTGCTGACGCCAACAAAGGAGACATTGTTCGCTATTTTCTCGACAAAGACACAAATGAAGTTGTTTACCATAACGACACATCACCAAAATATCTGACAGTTGACCCTCAGTATGAAGTTATTTATTGGATTGATTATATCGATGCTAGTGATAGTTATTCTCTTATGAAAACATATTTCAATGGTTCAACGTCTGAAGTCAAGTTCTACCCTGGTACAACGAGTTCAGTAAACGTTGCAATAGGGAAAGATAATTTCTATGTAATGGATAGCACAAGGAAACGTATAGATGTGTTTGACAGACCCAATGCTACTTTCCAATATTCATTTTTTCTCAGTGATTCACCACAAGAAATAACTGTTGTTGAAGGCGAGTAAAACTTTAAAAAAACTTTATTCATAAAAACAATTACCAAGAAAAGGGTTAAAGTGCCTATATCACTCGTGGGATCTTTATGCATTTGTAAAGAACGTAAAAAGTTAGTTAATATATTAAAAGACGTTTTTTGATTTAGTGCAATAATTTCGAAGATACAAGCCTCTAAAGTACCTGCGGCTCCTGAGTCCCAACCTCCTGGGTTTAAACACGGCCATTCAATTGAAACTGCCCATTGTTTACAGGAGCCTGGGACTCAGGAACTGCAGGTAGTTTAAGGGCTAGTATCTTCAAAATTGTTGCACTAAATCAAAAAACTTTTTTAATATATTAACTAACTTTTTACATTCTTTTGAAATGCATAAAGATTCCACGAGTGATATAGGCATTTTAAAAGGCGGCAGGTTCATTTGGTGTATAAACACAGAAAAATCATAGCTCCATTTACGCTACAGTCAATTTTAATAGGGTTCAGGCTACTAATACAAAGGCCAAAATGTGTACGGGTACCCATGTAGCCGTGCTGTGTCACGCCAATAAATCGAGTGTAGCGTAAACAGGGCTCATCAGCAATTTAACTTTATTTGTCGCTAAATATAAAGCACCAATATAGAATAAAGTACATAATTTTTTAACATGTAGCCTAGTTGTTTCATATGTAAAAATTTAAGAATTAGCTTTCTTAGGATAAGAAATAACTAACAACATTCCTTTTTAAACTTACATACTTATAATTTACATAAATACATACTCGGCCAAGTATTGTATTTTGATGTGCAAATGATTATTGAAAAATAATTTTGAGTAAGTGTTTTTGAAAGTATTTAAGCCTTTTATGATCCAAATCAATCGATCCTAAACAAGTTTAGAAGGAAGAATGAATTCTTCACTGACGCACCTCACAACTTATTTTTTTCAGATTTGGATGAATGTTGTGTTGGTGGATATTGTCATGATAATGCAACGTGTACAAACACACCAGGAAGTTATTTCTGCACATGCAAGGAAGGCTATACTGGGATAGGAACTAATTGTGAAGGTACGCAGAGATTTTGTGTAATTTGTTATTTCTTCGGATTCGTCGTGCAAAGCGTTTACACAAAAAGATTTTCCGGATTCAAATGTTTCTGGATACGAAGTTTCCACTTTTACGGATTCAAAGTTTCCGGATACGGCTTAAAACCGAGTACATTTTCTATCAGATTAATTGCTGCGTGTGTAAACAGCAACATGAATCCGGTACTAAAACATTCCGCTTTCGTGATGAATCCGGAAACTTTAGTTCTAGTGTAAACGGGGTCTCAATCATGCAGATATAGCTAGTTCCGAAAAAAAATTATCACTTTTTTGGAAGAAACCAAAATTGCTCAGTATTTTTGAAAAAAAGCGTGGTTTACACTGTCGGAGGAGTTTGATTGACTTAATAATTAAATGAGGGTATCAACCGTTTTTTTTTTCTATGGTCCATACATGGTTATATACTAGCTAAAAGGCTTCGCATTTAAAAATTTCTATATCAAATGGAATGATTATAATATAAAAAACGAAAAAGATGTATTATAACCCTCGAAAACGTACAACCAATTAGTGCTTAAAGAGTAGTGTCTAGTGAATGGTAAAATACAGTAAACATTACCCGTTTTCCAGCTGCAGTTTATAGATTTTCACAGCTTAAATGAAAGTTATATACTTTAATAACATCAAAACAGCTCAAACTAAATCCCGAACTGGCAACTGAAGGGCTAAACGCCGAATGTTTTTTTTTCACAAAATATATTACACAGTGATTTCATTGTTTTATCAAAACTTCAAAGTAATTGCACTTTCCAGAACTCTTTTTCCAGTTAACATGGCTTTTAGCCAATCAGAGGCTCTGAATCTTCTGAAACAAATTATGATTTAATTTATTCAATCTATTCAATATATAGAGCAATAAACACTAAAAATGCCATATTAGATGTTGACGAATGCCTAAAAACCCCCCATGTCATTCCAATCCTACGTCCAATAACACAAATGGATCTTATATCTTCATATGTAATTCTCGATATATACAGGAGACGGATTTAATGGAACAGATTATAGGCCTACACCAGAAATAATGTTTTTCGCAAATGTATGAGTAAAGACAGAAAATGAAAATAAAAATGCTACAACTGTCATTTCAGATGTTAACGAATGCCAAACATCTTCTCCATGTCATTCCAATGCTACGTGCAATAACACAGATGGATCTTATATTTGCACATGTGATTCTGGATATACTGGAGATGGATTTAATTGCGCAGGTAAGACAACGGAAATATTATTTTAACAAATATCTTTAACAAATGTTTGAGAAAAGAATAGTAAATGGAAGAAAAAAAATTTTGCGACTGTCATTTCAGATGTTGACGAATGCCAAACATCTTCCCCATGTCATTCCAATGCTACGTGCAATAACACAGATGGATCTTATTTTTGTACATGTGATTCTGGATATTCTGGAGATGGATTTAATTGCACAGGTAAGACAGCGGAAAGAATATTTTTAACAATTTTTTTTTAAAAAATATTTGAGAAAAAATAGTAGATGGAAATTTGATAATGGTTTGACAGCTACCTATCTCACACTACCTAGCTCAGCTACCCCGACAGCTACCTAGCTCACACGATTGCTCTAATTTCCTTGTTTGTTCTAGTAGTTTTAATATTTACACATGAAATAGTCTTTGCCCACCAACAAGCCTAAGTTGAAGCGGGAAAGAGGATTTTTGACTCTTTTTCATTTGCAATTGTTCACAATGCGGTACACCCAGCTTTTTAATAATTATTTGGTAAAATTTTTTTTTGGGGGGAAACGGTATAGAAAAAGATTTCTACAGATTATCAAGATCAAACTCAATGTTATCCTTTTGAATGTCATCTGTAATATATTTCTAGATATTAATGAATGTGAAACAATTAATCCTTGTGATGTAAATGCAAATTGCACTAATACTGATGGTTCATATAATTGTACTTGTAACATGGGCTATGAGGGCAATGGTTACAACTGTACAGGTAAGGTGAACACAGAATATCGGCATAAACAAAATTATCTGTTATTCTACAGTCAAATTTTCTTTGTCTCTGGTTTCTATCGCAAATCCAAGTTCTGAACGCAAGCGATATTTCTACAGCTGTTTCCCCGGTAGCTATCTAGCTCACAGGAATAGTTTAATTTCCTTGTTTGCTCTAATATAGTTGAATAATGAGAACATTTATTAGTTTTAACGTCGTTCCAACAAGCTTAAGTTGAAGAAAGAAAAAGGATTTGAAATTCTTTTTCATTTGCAATTTTTCGCCATGCATATACTCAGCTTGTTAATAATTATTTGATAAAATATTTAATTTTGGGGAAAAGTACAAAAAGATTTGCACAGATTATAAAAATCAAACTCATTATAATCCTTGCGAACGTCATCTGTAATATATTTTCAGATATCAATGAATGTCAAACAAGTCCTTGCGATGTGAATGCAAATTGCACTAATACAGATGGTTCATATAATTGTACTTGTAACATGGGCTATGAGGGCAATGGTTACAACTGTGCAGGTAAGGTGAACACAGAATATCGGCATAAAGAAAATTATCGGTTATTCTAGAATCAAATTTTATTTTCTCTGGTTTTCTAACGCAAATCCAAGTTCTGAACGCAAGCGATATTTCTACTGCTGTTTCCCCGACAGCTATCTAGCTCACACGAGTAGTTTAATTTCCTTGTTTGCTCTAATAGTTGAATAATTAGAGCATGATATAGTCTTTGGCTTTGATCTAACGTGCCTAGTTTGAGGAAGGAGAGAGAATTTTACATTCTTTTTTCATTTACAAGTGTTCACCATGTTATATACTCAGCTAAGTCAGATGGTTGATAATTATATAATGAAATATTTTTTTATGGTAAAAGTATAGAAAATGATTTCTACAGATTATCAAAATCAAACACTAAATGAGGGTATCAACCGTTTTTTTTTTCTATGGTCCATACATGGTTATATACTAGCTAAAAGGCTTCGCATTTAAAAATTTCTATATCAAATGGAATGATTATAATATAAAAAACGAAAAAGATGTATTATAACCCTCGAAAACGTACAACCAATTAGTGCTTAAAGAGAAGTGTCTAGTGAATGGTAAAATACAGTAAACATTACCCGTTTTCCAGCTGCAGTTTATAGATTTTCACAGCTTAAATGAAAGTTATATACTTTAATAACATCAAAACAGCTCAAACTAAATCCCGAACTGGCAACTGAAGGGCTAAACGCCGAATGTTTTTTTTTCACAAAATATATTACACAGTGATTTCATTGTTTTATCAAAACTTCAAAGTAATTGCACTTTCCAGAACTCTTTTTCAAGTTAACATGGCTTTTAGCCAATCAGAGGCTCTGAATCTTCTGAAACAAATTATGATTTAATTTATTCAATCTATTCAATATATAGAGCAATAAACACTAAAAATGCCATATTACATGTTGACGAATGCCTAAAAACTCCCCCATGTCATTCCAATCCTACGTCCAATAACACAAACGGATCTTATATCTTCATATGTAATTCTCGATATATACAGGAGACGGATTTAATGGAACAGATTATAGGCCTACACCAGAAATAATGTTTTTCGCGAATGTATGAGTAAAAGACAGAAAATGAAAATAAAAATGCTACAACTGTCATTTCAGATGTTAACGAATGCCAAACATCTTCTCCATGTCATTCCAATGCTACGTGCAATAACACAGATGGATCTTATTTTGCACATGTGATTCTGGATATACTGGAGATGGATTTAATTGCGCAGGTAAGACAACGGAAATATTATTTTAACAAATATCTTTAACAAATGTTTGAGAAAAGAATAGTAAATAAAAGAAAAAAAATTTTGCGACTGTCATTTCAGATGTTGACGAATGCCAAACATCTTCCCCATGTCATTCCAATGCTACGTGCAATAACACAGATGGATCTTATTTTTGTACATGTGATTCTGGATATTCTGGAGATGGATTTAATTGCACAGGTAAGACAGCGGAAAGAATATTTTTAACAATTTTTTTTTAAAAAATATTTGAGAAAAAATAGTAGATAGAAATTTGATAATGGTTTGGCAGCTACCTATCTCACACTACCTAGCTCAGCTACCCCGACAGCTACCTAGCTCACACGATTGCTCTAATTTCCTTGTTTGTTTGTAGTTTTAATATTTCAACACATGAAATAGTCTTGCCCACCAACAAGCCTAAGTTGAAGCGGGAAAGAGGATTTTTGACTCTTTTTCATTTGCAATTGTTCACAATGCGGTACACCCAGCTTTTTAATAATTATTTGGTAAAATATTTTTTTTGGGGGGAAACGGTATAGAAAAAGATTTCTACAGATTATCAAAATCAAACTCAATGTTATCCTTTTGAATGTCATCTGTAATATATTTCTAGATATTAATGAATGTGAAACAATTAATCCTTGTGATGTAAATGCAAATTGCACTAATACTGATGGTTCATATAATTGTACTTGTAACATGGGCTATGAGGGCAATGGTTACAACTGTACAGGTAAGGTGAACACAGAATATCGGCATAAACAAAATTATCTGTTATTCTACAGTCAAATTTTCTTTGTCTCTGGTTTTCTATCGCAAATCCAAGTTCTGAACGCAAGCGATATTTCTACAGCTGTTTCCCCGGCAGCTATCTAGCTCACAGGAATAGTTTAATTTCCTTGTTTGCTCTAATATAGTTGAATAATGAAACATTTATTAGTTTTTAACGTCGTTCCAACAAGCTTAAGTTGAAGAAAGAAAAAGGATTTGAAATTCTTTTTCATTTGCAATTTTTCACCATGCCATATACTCAGCTTGTTAATAATTATTTGATAAAATATTTAATTTTGGGGAAAAGTACAAAAAGATTTGCACAGATTATAAAAATCAAACTCATTATAATCCTTGCGAACGTCATCTGTAATATATTTTCAGATATCAATGAATGTCAAACAAGTCCTTGCGATGTGAATGCAAATTGCACTAATACAGATGGTTCATATAATTGTACTTGTAACATGGGCTATGAGGGCAATGGTTACAACTGTGCAGGTAAGGTGAACACAGAATATCGGCATAAAGAAAATTATCTGTTATTCTAGAATCAAATTTTATTTTTCTCTGGTTTTCTAACGCAAATCCAAGTTCTGAACGCAAGCGATATTTCTACTGCTGTTTCCCCGACAGCTATCTAGCTCACACGATTAGTTTAATTTCCTTGTTTGCTCTAATAGTTGAATAATTAGAGCATGATATAGTCTTTGGCTTTGATCTAACGTGCCTAGTTTGAGGAAGGAGAGAGAATTTTACATTCTTTTTTCATTTACAAGTGTTCACCATGTTATATACTCAGCTAAGTCAGATGGTTGATAATTATATAATGAAATATTTTTTTATGGTAAAAGTATAGAAAATGATTTCTACAGATTATCAAAATCAAACACTAAATGAGGGTATCAACCGTTTTTTTTTTCTATGGTCCATACATGGTTATATACTAGCTAAAAGGCTTCGCATTTAAAAATTTCTATATCAAATGGAATGATTATAATATAAAAACGAAAAAGATGTATTATAACCCTCGAAAACGTACAACCAATTAGTGCTTAAAGAGAAGTGTCTAGTGAATGGTAAAATACAGTAAACATTACCCGTTTTCCAGCTGCAGTTTATAGATTTTCACAGCTTAAATGAAAGTTATATACTTTAATAACATCAAAACAGCTCAAACTAAATCCCGAACTGGCAACTGAAGGGCTAAACGCCGAATGTTTTTTTTTTCACAAAATATATTACACAGTGATTTCATTGTTTTATCAAAACTTCAAAGTAATTGCACTTTCCAGAACTCTTTTTCAAGTTAACATGGCTTTTAGCCAATCAGAGGCTCTGAATCTTCTGAAACAAATTATGATTTAATTTATTCAATCTATTCAATATATAGAGCAATAAACACTAAAAATGCCATATTAGATGTTGACGAATGCCTAAAAACTCC